GGTAATTCACATTTTCCGCGACTCGATTCGGCGATCGCGTTCGGCGTGCGTTTCCTATGCGACGCGGATTTCGCGGAAATGATGACGCGGAGCATCGTATTTCCTCTTCCTGACACGGAATATACAGAACACTCAAAGGAAAGACCGATCGCTTGTTTCTTCTGCTTTCTTTTTTGCAGCTGAAAGGTATACCTCGATAAAAAGGAACGAGATGGGGACAGATAAACGCTCGCGAGCGGTAATATTGCGGAATCGGAAAGAAATATTTGCGATCGAGAACACGCGCACGTGAGATATGTTGATATTATTGCGCGCCGCGAAAGAGATTTATTTACCTTTGTTCAAAAGTTTAAACAAGATAACAGAACGATGTGCACACACGCGCGCGCGTGTGTGTGACTTCAGTAACAGGCGATCGACAAATTTACGCGACGTTACCGCAAGTGGGATGTAATAACAAAGTCGGGTTTAATCGAGAATCGAGTGTTTTTATGCCGCGCCAATTGTTCGCGTGTCCTCTTTTGTGATATATTTATTTACACATCGTATATATATATATATTTTTTTTTTATAACTTTTGACCTCTCGAATTGTATCTTGCGTGATTTACTGAATAGATATTAGAATCACGTATTTCTCAATAATTGTTTTATAAACTCTCACACAACATTCGATAACATAAAATATATGGAGAGAATATTATAGTTTTTTATAAAATAAATTTTTTTAAATTTCGCTATATGTTTTCAATAATCCAAGAATAGACTAGTCGGTAAAGAATAGTCGGTAAAGTCTATCTTGACAAGAAACATAGTAAATATCGTTAGAAACAGCAGATTTTGCTAGCGACATACCTAGATAGATTTTCATGATTGTCATTACATGAGACAATAAATGTGAGGAAAAGTTTTTTTTATTACATTTATGAGGCAAACACACTATACCGAATTATAATTATTAGATTTACATTATATATAATGTGAATGTTTTATTACACTGATGCTTTAAAATTTACTAAAAACTACTCAGATTTTTGTATTATATTTTGCATGATATGTTGTTTTGAGCAAATTTCGATAATTTTCATATTTCTTCCGTCATTCTATTTCGTCTTTCTATGTGATAAATATGAGTGCTGCATGAACCACTCATAAGGAACTTTACAAATCGCGACTAATGAAGTTGCTGGCAAATTTACGCACATCTGTTCATCTGGGTAGCATGTATTTTAGTAGCTCATTTCAGTGCCTAAAATATAAGTAGCATATGTGAAACGAATTACTGCAGAATGTCAACTTATATTCCCTAATTATAAAATCCTGCATTAATTCTTACCATAAAATCCTTTTCGTATAAGATAAAAATAAAAATTGCACTTAAATTTCGGCGATGAAAATGTCATCGTAACACGTTATTATGTCATCGTTAAAACACTTTGAATATTGCACTTTTGAAAAAATTTTATGACTATTTCACTTCTGATAACAGGAACTTGATAACAGGATACTCTATGCACAGATGGAATATAAATTCTGCTACGACAAACAGAATGACGCAAACTTTTCGCAACGACTATATTTAATCCAGCAATTCTGCAAGTTAAAGTTCAAAACAACAACGGCCTTTGTCGTCGCAAACAGGTGGAAACGAAATCGTAATCTGAGAAACCGACATGGCTCAAACGTGGCGTCATGCGATATTCTCCTCGTTCGCAACTCATTCAGAGTGACCGAAATCGCACGTCCACGATTTCGCGAATAGTAAGAATTTGGGGCTATTATCTTATCGTAATTATTTCAAACCACTAATTAGTCTCGTGGTCGCTGGGCTGTTCGGAGGAGAGAGCGCAGAGAGACACGCCATAGGCGCGCTCGTGAAAGAGTGATGATTCACAGGAGACACGCGCGCGCGCGCACGCACACACCATAGCAACACTTCATACATTCTCATGCAATACCCGGCATATATACATGCGAGAGAGCGCGAGTCACGTTCTGCTGGACAACGCGGAGCTGGTCATAAGGTGCACAATAAAGAAAAACACGACGGCACGGTGCACACATTGAAATAACAAGTTTTGAAATGTTCGTCGTGATTGCATGGGTTGGCACTTACCGCTCTCGATGTAGGATACCAGCGACAGCAGCAGCAGGCAGAGAACGTATCCGCACGTGTCACTGATCATCGTAGTACTATATTCCCTGCTGCAGTCGAGACACGCCGCTGGACTATCTGACGTCGGCACCAATTCGCGAGTACCCGCGGACAAACACAACAAACAAACGGCGCGCGACCTACACGACGCGACGCGGCCCAGCAACACGGCGGAGCACGGCACGGCGTTGCCGCCAGCAACAGGATAAGCGACGCCGACGGGGAAGAACGCGCGCGTCACGGCCGCATCACCTTTTTCTCCACTTGTTTCCTCCTTGCCCTCCAGCCGTACTCAGACCAGCACTGCACCAGCACACCACCGCGCGTCTCGATCACCACCGGACAACGAGTCACTCCGCGCGTCGCGCTCCGCTCGTTCGCGGGCGACGACAATAATCGACGTGGGCGACGACGGCGACGACGCGCGCTCGCTCGTTCGCTCGCTCGCGGAGGACGCGGATGATCGGCTGCGTTCGGTACCGCCGCGGCGACACGTACGACGACTACGAAGCGTCTCTCTCTTTCTCTTTCTACCTCGTTTGCCCTCTCTTTCTCGCTCGTTACCCTTCTCTCGTTTCGCGTTCTCGCTCTCTCGCTCGCTCCCTTTCGTCCCGTTGCTTCCGGAGCGCGGCGAGGTCTACGCCATCATTTTCCCGTGGAGATCGTTCTCTCGCACGCGGACGCTGCACGCCGACTAGCGCACACATACATACACGCGACAACGATCCGCCCCTTGTCTCGCGACTTCCGCGACTCGCACTGCTCGCGCCTCGCTCGCTCCGTTTCGTCTATTCGCCGCCTCCGTGAGGCCCCACCAGCACGGGCGCTCCGTTCCGCGCCGACGACAGTCCGTGGCTCGCTCGCGATGACGCTCGCAAACAGCTGACGGACCCGCTGGCCGTTTCTTCACGCACGGCGCGGCGACGACGACGACGACGACGACGATGACGACGACGACGACGACGACGACGACGGCGACGACGACGACGACGACGACGACGACGGCGACGACGACGACGACGACCACTCGATACTTAGCAGACGCATCGCAACAGCAACAAACACGCACACATACACGGGACGGGAACACGCGCGCACGGACACTACATTCGCCACTGTCGCCGTTGACACAGTCCTGCCACCCCCGGGCTTCTGCACTTCCCTGGCTCACTCGTTATGACGTCGCGCTCGACGCGTTCTCCCCTCCATTCGCCGCCTCGTACTCGCGCGCGCTGCTGCCGCGAGATGACGACTCTTGTCGCGCGGTACGTCGGTTATCGAGTTGTGATCCAACCGCAATATTTGCGCGGCTTCGAGATGAACGGCCTCGAACCTGCTGTTGAATCGACTTCAACCTGCTGTTGAATCGTACTACTCGAAGATGATGATTCTTTTGATCCTTCATAGTCCTTTAATAGTTGAGAGAAAGTGAATCTTCTGACCCATTGTCGACTGACTAACGCTCTGTTAGACCCGCTAAGATGCGACTGACGGGGTACCTGGTGTCATCTAGCGGTGTTATCTGGCGGCGTCGCGGCAAATTTACCCGTTTGATACGGCAGAAAGAAGCATGAGAGCAGCCACCAGCCTGATTTCAGTGCTCAGAGCTAGGCCATGGACGTAAGAATACATGGACAGAGCGCAAAGTGCGATTATAGACGAGGGGCTGTGAAGCCTAAGGTCTATCGCACACAAATTGACATAACTGCATATGCATAGCATAAGACCGTATGTACCAATGAGCATCGAGTATTAAGTCGCCATATTGGTGTTCGATGCTTAATATTTGATGCTCATTACGTATGATGATTACGATCGTATGGTCCATACGATCTTATGCTATGCATATGCAGTTATGTCAATTTGTGTGCGATAGCCCTAAGATGTAAGAGCATTACATCGTCGCGGCCATCATAGTGTCGAAGGTTTGTATCTATTGTCTATGTATAAAAACAGCGACCGTCGCCATCATGGTATGTTAACTCCAGGATACATACAATTATTCCCCTCACCTCTTGGGCTTCATCCCCGCAACAATTCGCTCCGTTCATATATTCCTACGTCCATGAGCTAGGCGCATTTTCGAGACGCCATCTAACAAAATGCGCCTTTACTACATTCGTTAGGCGTATTTTCGCGATGGTAATGATAAAATGTGTCTGATTCGTGCCTGTTGTACTTCCGTACAATGATAGTAAGTTAAAAAAAGACAAACGTTCAATCACTCTATTCTTGTCTTACTACTGATGAGCGGACCGCGCGACGTAGGCACGAAACGAGCGGCGATATTATCACAAAACTAGGGGTACGGTTCAGCGGGCGTTGCAAATGCTTTGGAGCGTTTTTACTTTTTTCTCTTTCTTCATTCGAATCCGAGGAATAAAACAAGAGGAAGAAACGCTGCGCAGTATTTGTAGCAGTTGTTGGGCCACACCCTTTATCATCTCTCATCAGTCTCGTCTTTCTCGCGCTGCGTTCTACGTAATTTTGCAAGGAAAAAAGATTTGAAAAATGGATAATATAAAATAATAAATAAATATGCAAGCTTAAACATGCTGCTCATATTTTTTTGCATTTTTTTTTTTTTTTTTGCTTATTTCTCGGCAACCACAAAAGATATCGATGTGATTTAAAGAAAACAAAGTTCTCCACAATTTATCCTGTTGGAATTCAGAGTTTACGTCGCTGGCTTGCTTTACGCGTACGTCTCGCGGATCGCTCATCTGTGGTGTGACAAGAACAGAGCGATTGGACATCTGTCCTTTTCTAATTTACTATCATTATACGGAAGTCCACTGCGAAAGTGCGCCTAACGGACGTAGTTAGACGCATTTTTGTTAGATGGCGTATCTAAAATGCGCCTAGCTCTGGCCGCTGAAATCATGCTGGTGGCCGCTCTCAAGCTTCTCTCTGGTTACGGTTTGTTAGTTTCAAAGCGCTTGTTACGAGTCGCCACTTTTCTTTTTGAAGGGCCGAAATAGTAGCACGACTAAATAACAGTGTATTCGAAGGCAATCAATCTTTATTTTCAAATAGTACTGTATTGTCAACGGCAGATCAACGACTGACTTTTCATCTTCCAATGCAACTCAGATACAGGTAATTCTCAATTGCATCTGATCTATCTTCGACAAGTGCTTCGAGAAACGTTGCATTAGTCGCACTTTAACGAGTCTGGCGGAAAATAAAGAAGTTTTCTTTATTTTCAGTCACCCCCTACAGTACTCTGATGGCATACCAGAAGACCTTTCATTTCCACAAGTAGTATGACAGGTTAGAATGCTTTAAATATTGATTTTGCCGAGAAACTACAGTCTTTCTATGGCTTCTTATTTTTAAGTAATTCGATTCGTGACGAATGAAACTTTACTGTTTATTAATGTGACTCAGCAAATCACAAGAAATCTTTAGATTTATACGAGACGATGAATATTATATAGATATTCATTAGCTCTAATTTAGTATAAAACGAAAAGTCAACGAGGATATTAATTACAAAAGATACAGATAATTCTAAACAAAAATCTTGAATAAACACACACTATCTTATTTATAAGCTGAATTAATAAGTACTGGAAAAAATAATACGTATTTGTGAGAATATATTTGTATTTATAACAGAATCTGTGTGTACAGACATTGAGAGAAAAAATATCTAAAAAATAAAAAATATATTTATTCGATACTAACATAACATATTTATTTATATAAATAAATATGTTATGTTAGTATCGAATAAAAATATTTTTTAGATATTTAAAAAAATTTTTTTTAATAAGAAAATATACATTTTCTTGAAAACATAGCTTTTTATAAAAGAGCATTATTTAAGAAATATAATAAAATTATTCTATTTAAATAATCTATTTAAATAAAATTATTCTATTTAAATAAAAATATTGGGGTCATTTTAACGAAACGCGCGAGTTTTAAGAAATTACACGAGTACACCGTTCTATGATTAATTTTAGGAAATGAAGCAGCAGCTACACGCGTTTTCAAATAGGAAATGGGAATACGTAACACGAAATTTAAAAATGCACGTAAAAATAAAATATTTAATTAACATATCAGCTCATGTTTTTTAATGCGCTCTAGAAGCTTTTTTATACCCTTGGTAGTTTTTAATAATAAACGAAAGCGCTGACAGTTCCGGCTAAAAATTCAAAATAACAGACATTTCAATATAAAATGAGGATCACTCAACTTCGACTTTTTATTCAAGAAATGAGTAAATATTTGATATACGAGAGAGAACTATAAAATGTGATTATCTCTTTCATTAATATCGTCCGTTCGCAAAAGGATCTCAACCTACGCGACAATAACCTAACGATGATAACCTCTCTATGATTGTGCCAAAACAGTTTAAAAGTTTCATAGCTTAGAATAGCTTAAAAGCTACATCCATTCGGAGGGCAATGAAATTACATATTTATCCGCACTAATTACACATTTATACCTTCTCCTCTCGTATCCACGAGAAATGTCGAGAAAATAATTCGTCCGATGTGTATACGCAGTCACAGCATACGATGCATCGAAGCTGCATATTTAAATGCGAGTAAATGCACCGCGATTATTAATGACGAATGGACCCGAAAAAGGCTCGACTACACGAAAATGCGACCGACAGTGAGTCCGGATGAATCCGCAACATCAAATCGATCCACGCACACAGCGTCGTGCGACGATTATCCATCACGAGGTCGCAAGGAACAAATATCTGGCCTGGGAAATGCACAAACGAAGTATGAGACGCATTTATTGCAACACGTTGCGCATCCCTCAACGTATGGACCTCGTAAGCAACATATTTGCAACTCATTGTGAATCAACCTGAAAAATAACTCCATTTCCTGGACGCTTTTACCGCATTTCCGATTCCAATTTTCCATACCGCGGCGTATCGTTTCTCCTCGCGATGATGAAAGTCGAAATAAATTCCGGTGTGTTGCATTAAAGGAGATACGAGGCGCATCGGGACCCCGAGGTAATGCAAACGGTAAACGGGCGGATTTTAATTTAATTAAACGGCCAAATTAAAATCTCTCGCGCTGCAGTCGTTAGTATCGAATCGCGTCGAGACGAATTTTATACTTTCATACTCCGATGCGATTGATATCAGCCCCTCGCGATCTCTATCATCATCAGGAAAACGCATTAATCGCTCGAATTCGCAGTGAGACCGTTAGATTGGCATATCGCGAATCGCGAGTGGTGCGTCTACACCGTGGTGGAGGATCGGCGAGATGTTCCGGAAAGTCCCGTCAAGGCGTCGCAGGAACACAGAGGTGTCGATCCGCGCGACGTCGACTTACCACGCAGACACCAATCGATGAACACCGACGAGGAGTGGTACGTTAAGCCACATCTATGGTGCGTGAGATGCCACAGGCGGAAGAAGCAGAAATGCCGCGAGCTCGAGCTGGGGAAATCGACGAGGCGGCTTCTCGAGCGCATGAAGAAGTACGGTAAGGAGAGCGAGAAATCCGACGACGAGGCGGTCGCCGGTGTATCAACCGCGCCGCATCGAGAATCGATAAGCCGTGCCCCGGAGAAATCCGAGAGAAGTCGTAAACAAGGCGCGCCGGAGGAAGTGGCCGATAAGGACGTTACCGGGAAGGGCAGGAAGGAGCGAAAGGTGAGGGGAGACGAGCGGCAAGAACGAGGACACAGAGAGCGCAAAATGAAGGAGAGGAGAGAGAGGCGCGAGCGCGAGGAGCGAATTCCGCATCCTGTCGCGGACGCGCAACCCGCTGCGCCTCCGGCGGACTTCCTCAAGAGCTGCTGTTACTTGTGCGCACAGAACACATTGGCGATCGCCGCCGCCGCCGGACCCAAGCCACAACAATCCGACAAGTACGTCCAAGTCTCGGTCCATCAATTTCACGCGGCTACACCCGCGCTCGATAAGAGCTGCAGCGCGACCCTGCTGGTGCGCTCGGTGCAGTCGTCCGTCAAGGTGAAGACGCGCGAGATCGGCACACTCTGCCCCGGCACCAAGGCGAAGCGCAAGAAGTTGAGCGTACTCCCGAGGCTGACGTGGACGAAGTGCCCGGCGAGACGACACGTCGCCTGCGAGACCGACAAGTCCGCCAGGCGCGATAACGCGGAAAAACGAGCGTGGAACGAGAAGTGCTGCGGCGCCGAGAGGAAGAACACCTGACACACTGAATCTCGCGATCCACTCGAGCTAATGTTCGACCACGCCTCACCCCTCCTTCCCTTCTTATCCCCAGGGAGGATGAAAAGAAATAATTACCCGCATCGCGTCGCGCTCATTGCGAATTCTGTCGTTTTGTTTCACACCCGAGCATATTCAAGTCTGACTTGACTTTATCGCAGTTCCGTAATTAGACCGCGTTCTCGAAGAAGTGTTACTTTCATTGGAATTTCTCTTAACTCACTCGTGCAAAGTTAAAAAAAAAAGTAAAAAGAAGATATATATGTATTGTTCAGAAAGATATATATGTATTATTTAGAAAGAGATATGTGTATCATTGATTTCTTCCTGGAAAGGAAAAGAGGAGAGCAAAGCTTGCGCGACGGAACGTAATTTATTGAAGAAATGAGAGAACGCTGTTTATTCGTAAACAACCTTCAATATTTCAGGTCTTCTTTCTCGGGATTTGATAAATTTAAGACGTTCCACTTTTTGTTTTTAGACGGCTCGCTGTGATGTACCTGTAAACTGTACATAACTTAACGTTAAAAAGAAATGCTGAATACCGACGCAATGCAGTTTCGTAGTTTGCATTGTTTTCCTACTTCGTTGCATGGAATTGCGAGCGCTTTTACAGAGTAAAAGTACAGTTGCCAATACGTGAAAAGACGTATCATATATTATGCTGAAAACAAAAACAACGGCTAAACTCTCATAAGCTTTTAACTCAATTTTATGGCATTTGAAACCTTAAATGGTCCTTGAATGAAGAGAAAATGGTTCAGAAAGATATGTATTCTGCCGAAATAAATAATATCGTTAGGATCCTTACAGGAAACGTATATGTTTTAAATATTTTCTTCCAAATGATGAGACATATCTCTTTGATACTTATATATCTTTGATACTTATATATCTTTAATATCATCTACTCATGAATAAATATACAATTTTATTAAAAAATAATTTAAAATTGCGAATTCCGAAAAAAATAGGACTAAACTTTGTTGTGCTTTTGTAAATAAAAGAAATTCTCTCGATTTTGATACAATATTTGGTATCTTTTCAAGATTGACATACAAATTATATTTTAACTCTATAAAAACATTTGAAATTCTATGCAACTAAAGAATGCAAAATAGTATAAACTACAACAAAATAGATTATCGGTACCCAGCATCCTCTTAAGAGACGATCCTTGAGTGCATACTCGAATTGTAAATTAAGAAGAATTAATACCTTAGCAGAAAGACAGAAGCCAATCAAAACTCGCGCTGGTAGAAAAGCAGAAACTGTCAACTACCATCAGCGCAAGTTCTGATTAGCTTCTGCCTTTTCGTTTTCTGCTTCTCTGCCAAGGTGTGTCAATTCATCTCTACACACGAATCTCTTCAATAGCATACATAATACTGCTACTTCGTATCTTCGTCAATAAATTGCAGCCAGTCGCGCAAGCGACTTTGTTCATGCACGAGTGAAAGACGCTAGTTGTTAAACTATGTGCGAAAGTCGAGAGAGAAAGAGGGAGGGAGGGAGGAGGAGGAGGAGGAGAGAGAGAGAGAGAGAGTGCGCTCACAGAGGATCTTACGTATACGTAATTATTTCATCGAGCATAAAACCGTCCCATCTCCCTCGTCTTCTTTCTCTTTCTCTTCTTCCGCCTTCGTCGTTTCTACGTCGTTATTCTCGCAAAGTTTGACAGGCGATAAGAAGTTTCCTTTTATTACTGCGCTCTTTATTAAAGACGGTGCTGGCGGCTTTTTCCTGACACACTTCAGCCTTAATTACATAGCTTCTTCGCGCTTTGTTGCGCGAACCTCCGAGCGAGCTCAAATCCTGTTTTACAGACACTTGGAAGAAAAAAAGAGATGACTACGCAGCATGAGACATATTAAGGTCGTTCTACATTAGTTGCAAGTCAATTGCAACTCTTGTTGCGACGGCCAATCAGAAGCGTCAATAGCACCATTGATGCTTTTGATTGGCTGTCGCAATAAGAATTGCGTCTGCTTACGATCAGCTTGCAACTAATGTAGAACGACCTTTAGGCACTCCTTCGATACACACGTCGATGCCAACACCGATGTTGTTTTCATATTATTTTCACGTGTCCCTCACGTGGCATTCCTGCGCGATGCTTCGTGTCCCTTCCATGTCACTTGCGCACGTGACTACCACTTGAATACAATCTTACTTTGCCGCTACTAACGTAAACGTGTCAAGTCACAAGCCTGTAAGCCCAGAACTCGTCTATGTTTCACGTGATTCCCGTAGGCATTACGTAAATCAGTAATCGCCCGTGTTTTATGTACAGCGAGTGCAATCGATCCGAGAGGCAACACGACAATTCGGAGTAATTGTGTCTCTCCGTGTTTCTCGTCGACGTGATCGTCTCGCAGGAACGCGATTTTATTTCTCCGTGATCGGGAACGTAAAAAAGTCGCGAGTATAAATCTAGACCTCGCGCGTCTATTTTGCACAATCCTCATGGACGCAAGTCTACAATTATCAGATTGGATATATACAGCGAAAACAATCTGCCCCAAAGAAAAATGTTGCAATTTCGTGAGATCGTCCCTCCTGCATCGCATGTGTGTGCCTCTGTTACTAAAGGATATTTATACTTCTATTTAATTACAACTAACATCGCAGAAATAAACCTATATGGCGTGTCAATCTTATATGAAGTTTCGGCGGACATAACGTAAACTTACGATCATCATTTTATATACAGTAAATGTATCTAGAGAAAATCTCTTTGCAATTCTCACGTTTATCTTTAGATCGCTTTAGATCGCGATCGTGTGATTGTGTACGAATTGTCACAGCGACGTCCAAATTTATATTAGGGCCTCGACACGAGAACATCCGCAACGTTTAAATCACGTTAAGTGTTAAACTGAGATCCGTACGTAACAGTAGATTTATGTCCGTATTCATTGCCAAGCCTTATATTTAAGGCCTCTTTAAGTTCATCTTCAGGTCTTCTACGGATCGGTTTATTAGCTACAGAATATCTGAAAATGAACTCGAGGAGGTTTTAAATATAAGGTTTTAAATATAAGACCTGATTATGAATACAGGCAGTAAAACCTGTTTGGAAATTCAAACGTTTTGGGGTACGTAAAGGAGGATTATGATTGGTCTATAGCAACTATTTAGATCAATGCACAAATAAAAGCACGATTTTGCATGATTAGGCACATTATCATATACAAGATAAGCACATAGAAAATTTTATATTAAAAACAAGATTATGGTAGAAATATTCAACTTGGTGAATTAATATCTTATCAAAATTTATATTATTTTTTATACATTATGATATTTTTAAAATTTAATTATTGTAATGAGTAAAAATGAGTGAACAATATGCTATAAAAGAAGTAATGAAAATTTTGATAAAATATAAATTTATTAAATTATATATTTCTCTTCTCTCGTTTTCCGCGATCCTATTTTTTCTTATAAAATATTTCATATATACTTTATATGCTATATATCATTTTTTTTTTTAATATAATGAAGTGATTGATTACGCAAAATCATGCTCTTATTACCTTAAGATTTTCTTCGTGCATTGACCTAAGTTTATTGTTACGTACAGATCTCAGTTTACGATAAATAATTTAATGCAACTTAAAGCGTTACGAACGCGAAGATCCTTTGCTCAGTATATCCGCGTGATAAAGTCAAAAAAGAAAAAAAGAGAAAATTTATCGAAGACATCGCAGTGGCCAACGGAAGGTCTTATTGCACTTCGCAGTCGCCCAGCCGACAATCGACCAGTAGTTCTAGTGGTTCTAGTCTGTGCGACGTCAGACCGTATCCGAGGACGATACGGTAGGTCGTGCCGGCAAGTTAGAGCTCGCGTCGTCTGATAACGGGCTGCCAAACATCAAAGGTGCCGCGTAATATGGCAGAAGAGGGTACTGGGTGGTCGGGAAGTACGTCGGCGGAAAAAGTCCTTGCCTTTGTGCGATCTTGAGCCGCGACGTCAGCTGCTTTTTCCATTTTGTGCGACGATTCTGGAACCATGTCTTGATCTGCACTTCGGTCAGGTTCAGACACTTGGACAGTTCCATTCGTTTGCTCACGCTAAGATACTTGTCAATCTGCCAAGACGGGAATATTGAATCAAGACGTGTAAACACACATGCGCACGCGAAATGTACTTCAAAAGAGATTAAAATTCTGTGAGAAATTAATCTCTCTTCAATGGTGACTTAACCCTTTCGCTACCAATGAGACATATGTTTCCCATCATTAATAATCACTTTATTCAATTGAAGAAACAACTGTTCAGAATACATCAGCTATCACGCTACTTATTGGGACATATATGTTTTCTCAAAAAAGTCCCAATAGAACATCAATATCCCTCTAACATCTGTGTTAGCTTTAACTCTTTGATATCAAACACAAAACTTTCAATTTTTTTGCTAAAATTCATTATATTAATGTATTTAATGAAGTAAAAATTAAACAAACTTTTACCTTTTTTACCTAAAAAACAAAATTGATAACGAAAGGGTTAAAATGACTGCATGATTCCTCCTAGAGCGGGATTTTTTTTTAGTTAAGAATATATCCAGATTTCTTTCCTCTTTATTTTTCTATTTTCCTGGAAGAAGGAATTTTGGAAAATTAAATATAAGGTATATTTAATTTTCATTTATATATTCGCTATGTGTTAACACAAAATATAATAATTTAAATAGAAGGAATGTATATAATATTTTATCACGAAACTTTTCCGGACATACCACTTGAAAGATTAAAAGTCAAATTCTTAAAAGCAATTTAAACTTAATTTAATTTCAAGTCTGTTCTAACGATGTGTTTGAACAGAGTTTGAATAGAGTTTAAGCTTAAATCTAAATGTCTGAACTACTGTTGAAAAATCGGCCCTAACGCGAGTCGTACCTTGAATTCCGCCTCGAGTCTCTCCAGTTGTTTCGCGCTGTAAGCTTGACGCGGTTTCCGATCGATACCCGGCTTCCTAGACCTCCTACCGCTCGGTTTAGGTGCTACAAAAATTATGATAGTGTATTATTAACATAATCCTCGCACGCATATTACAATAACGTTGCCGCTACTCAATTGACTGGCGACAATCATCAATCGTTACGCGAGTGGAAAAGTGTCAATCACTGAGCTTGTCGGTATTCACATCTTAGCCATTGCTAATTGTACGAACGTCTCCTGCAGATACTTGACAGCCTTCTGACGTTGACATTTGCGGAGATTTATTGCCGTGATAATCAAAATTTAATATTCTAATCACGTCTCTTAATTCCTCGACCAACTTGGCCGACTCGAGCTCAATTACCATCTTCTTACGATTTCGGCGCGTCCCCATCGAGCCCTGTCTAGAATTACCGAACGTGTCTAAAACGTGTGGGACTGTTTGCGGAATGTGTGACATCCTACTGTCAACATCGCAGGCGAAGCGGCAACGAGCTGCGCAAACAATTTATGACGAAGAACGTTTGGATGCGATTATCGTCGCAGTGTAAAGAAGTACTACATATTTCCTTTGAAAAGGAGATATGAGACATTATAACGTAATTAGCCGTGCTGAAACAATACAGCGATTGTTAACCACGCCGGCAAATATCCGCGAATAATTTGCGTTTGAGCACAAATAACGAAGCCCCTGTGACATTCTGGAATAACAACAACAGCTACTATGCAGTGCCATCTTACAACCAGATAGTTGCCCGTTTCTTTCCTACCTGATCTTTTTGTCAAATTCTATCTAATGCTGTCGTTTAAATTGTCAATATCCTAAGAGCGTTATTTAATCTTTATAGAAAAAAAAACTCCAGCGATCACTTTGACTATTATCTTGCGAATTACCGTGCACTTTCTTTGCCTTCTATCCACGACACTCACAATATTGAGAATAGATTTTATTGAGACGAATTTGACAGTACACTGAGAAAAAAAGTACTAGGAAATTTATTTCTGAAAAATTCACAGACATATAAACTTTATATCCCACATATAAATTTTCAAACATTTTTTCTCAGTGTGTATACAATGCAAGATCATTAAAATTAAAATCCAGCAATTACTTTAACTGTCATTTTACGAATAATACTGCGGCGCTGTGCACTTTCTTCGCTTTTTATTTTCACGCTTATAATATGCAAGATAATTCAAAGTTATGCAATTTTAAAGTGCATAAAGATACTAAAAAATCAGTATTTTTGTCCTATCACAAAGAATTGTTTCCTCATCGCGTTTGTACAATGATCTTTTCAAATATCTTTGTGGCACGTCTAATCCATAGACCGAGCTGTGGGACTAAAAGGGTGTATTATTTATTCGAGTGTTAATGCCTTTTCACCAATTGTCAACAATAGAAGCAGTAACACACTGTTCCCGCAGCATTATTTGTTCGTGGAATCCTGAAAATAGCACGGACTCGCCTGACTTCCAAAGAGACTCCCAAAGATCGCAATGCTTTCACATAGAAATAAACATTTTTTGCTCTTTTCTCGTGTTTAATCACCAGTTAGCTGCGCAGCCCTTACACGACGAGTCAACAAATAGATGTCGCGTGTTTGTACAAGACCTTTCCGTTTTTACATGGACCCTACCAGCATGGTCTACGAGTACGCAGAACGGCACAGTTTCACCGGGTGGAATATCACCGACACCTTATTTTGTACCCTCTCTGTTATTATCGCGCGTGAAAATTGGTGGCTTCACACCGCGTCCGAAATGTTTCGACGCGTCTAATTCGTAAGCGACATTAGCTATTGTCAGTGCAAATCCGCGGACAGCACACGTCATGCAGATTCAAAACGCTTCGATACATGTGACGGTCTATGCTCGAAATAGGAAACTCGATGGCGCGCGTATATTCCGCAAATAGTGTTCAAGAAGCGCCTGGCGTCTGTTGAGCCGTGCAACAGTGTAAAACATCTGTTTATCTAACATTTTTCTAACAGCGCGAGACACGTGCAAGGCGACGGAGCACGCTTGTCCAATATCTGCCAACGTTCTTTCACGTTACGTCATTTTATGTAGTAAATCAAGGTGGCGCGCAGCCTCGACTATAAAATTGATTGGCATAAATCGCAGATGAGATGATTGCGTTTCTCAGAAAGAGAACTGCCGTTGCGACCGGAAAAGAAAATGCTTACGGTGACGAAAAAGAAGAACCGGCGGGTACCAAGATTTACGAGTGTACAGAGACATTTAACACCTTCGCGGAAGATGATTAGACCAACGGTGTTAATAAATGGGCACCTAACAGCATGGCGGATAGTAGCCGGGAAGAGAGATCGGCGATGGCGGATTTCAATCTTGTTTCGGAGTTGCGAAATGCGCGGCACTTCAGCCGAGAGTTATCGAAGATTTTCATATTGTGCGAATTCGTATTGCACATTTGCAAACAATGACGTTAGAGTCGTAGCAAAAGAAAATCCCCAAAAATTGTTGGGTCGCAAGGGATATCCAAATAAAACAACGGAATGCATACAGGACGCTGTGATGCTGCGTGACGCTGAAAGCCGGCTAGAACATGGCGATCTGAGTAATGCTCTGTTCTTTAGGCGGCTAAGCATTTAATATCTCGCCGATAACGCGCCGAAAACAGGGGAGTGCAGCAACTGGGCCACTGATGTGTGCCTCGCGTGTCGAAAAGCTGTTACTGCAGGCGCCTCGTGTAATATCCAATATTCGTTGAAGCCGGGAAAAGAGGGGTGCTCCGCCTCATACACCTCTCTCAGCATTGTTCGCGAAAATGGAATTACAGCGGTAAGTTATTACGAGTGGATTATAATTAGAGTTCTTTGTCGTCGCGATTCACAGCGAGAACGTTCGTGCGTTCGGACACGAAGAAACATTTCTGACACTGTAATGAACCTTCTTTCGCACACGTCTCGAAAGTATTAAGGCTGAGTACTATTGCGGAGAGGAGATTTCGCCTTCTCTAAGGGTATGATCTTGAGAAATTTCTTGAATCTACTATATCAAGAATGGACTTTATCCGACTTTATCGATTTCGCCGCACTTTTAACGTTTTAAGGTTCCGAACTTACCTTGCAAGCCAAACAGTTGACCAGGTTTTGTTTGAGCAAACCAGCTACTGTACAATAAAGAGGCTGATGCGAGCGATGTTGCGGAATATGCTGTAGGGTCAGGTAACGCGCCTTCGGTATATGTTAGCCCCGTGTGAGTGTACAAACTTCCTTCTATATCTATCAAATGATAAACCCTTTTTTAAAGACAGTAACGAAAGCAAATACGTTTGAAAGTATACCGAGGGAAAAATACTTGAAAATCATTGTGGATACAGAGTTTATTTTCCTGCAAAATAAAGTTTATTTCTGTGTCGTATATAAATCCCGTATATAAATTTTCAAATATTTATATATCCCGTATATTGCGTATATAAATTTTCAAATATTTCTTTTCTTAGTGTGCACAGCAATTAGTGTGCACAGCAATTTGCAGGTGTTTAGAGACTGTATTGGGAGAGAGAAATATATATATATATATTCTCACGCATTCTATTAGATATATCCTTAAAAATTTTGAAACAAGCACAAATTGTCATTGACTGTGACGAACGTGTGTATTAGTTTCTAACATAAAATATTTCCTACAAAAATTAATTTGAGGAATAAAAAGAAGATAAAAGTTACCAATGGCTCAATATATTCCCATAAATCTTTTAAAGATGCAGTGTACTGAGAAAAGACTGCTTGAAGATTTCTTTGTGAGATATAAAATTTATTCCAACGAAATAAAATTTATTCTGTGAAATAAAATTTATTTCTGTGGATATATATAAATTTTATACTTCACAAATAAATTTCAAGTGTTCCTTTCTCACAATATTTCACGTACCGGGTCGGGTGGCCGGTATCGCGGTAGGCCTGACAAAATGTCCTTCGGTCCTGTCGTCCATCTCGTCCTGATCTTCTTCTCTATCGCCGGAATTATTCTCTATCGTCATTCTTGAAGCTTGATCTCTCTTCTCGCTTCTCCCGAGGATACTGTCGATCGTGAAAGCACTGGACGCCGCTATCGGCGAGGAATTTCGCCTCTCGCCCTGCGGTTTCTGAAACTCTCTGTAACCGTCGCAGCTGGAATCGGACGCGTACTCGATGGACTCCCGATTAGCGATCGGCGATTTGCAACCTCGTTGCTCGTTACTGATCGAGAAAGCTTCGTTCTCGCTCGACAACGATCTCGCCCGGCGAAGATCGTAAACGGCATCGCTCATTTCCTCGCGATTCTGGCAGAGTTCCATATTGCGAAAAATCATCGATTCCGGCTCGCAGTCGATGATTCTGATCTCACTTGGCCGACGGCATATGCTCCAGCGGTCTTCAAATCAAATTCGCGCACTTCCGATACGGCACATTCGACACCGACTTGCTGAAGAAACTTGACGCTTTTTTCTTCCTTGTGTGCCGCGAAAATGTTGCGTTCATTCGGACAGGTTCATGAATCGATTGCGACACCGCGTCATCCATTCACCTATCCATCGCTACCGCGATGAGATTAGCAGAGACACGGCGGCGTATTTGTTGATCGGTGAAACGTCCTGTGCGACGAGGAATATTTATTTACGAGTCGTATTGTATGTTTAGGCGGTTTAGCACGCGTTTTCCTTCTGATCGATCACACCTGATCGCGTACTAATCTCCCTCCGAACCGCCCGAAAGCAAGTACTTCCGAAAGTATGACAAGTGGCACGTGTCTGTGGTCCAGAGAAGGACCTCCCAGCATCCCCACCAGCCTTCCAAGGGAAGGTCATCCCGCGAAGCTGGAAAATATCTCGCACCTCGAATCCCCCACTTAGCCGGTATCTCCGATCGGAGTAGGGATCACAGAAACGCGGCGGTTTATAGTCGATTTCCTATTTTGCGCCTATTATTGCAGCTTTCAGATTTCCTTACATTAGTCGTAGCATTTGTACGAACCATCGTCTATTTCGTTATCACCGACTGAGTACTCAATTCGCAAAGCTCAGCAACGACATTTCATGTCTATATGATATTATGCATAAATAATACGAAATGCAAAAGTGGAAACATATGAAGTTGTGAGGTCCAACATTTTTTTGAGATCGTGTGCTGTAAGATCATATATCTGCTGATCATAATTGTTATGGAAGTTGTAGATATGACTTTGGTAGCTTATATGACGAGTGTTTTACTCGAGAGAGAAGATCGAACCGTTTGCATCTCATCTGAAAAATCTGTATTTTATCTATACCGCACAAACGTCCGCCACGCGATTTGTTTCGCGTATTACATTATTACTGTCGTCAGGATATTTTTTCGCTTTGACAACACAATGGGCACAACAGATCTTGCAAATTTCCACAAACGGTCTATCTCCTATATTTCCATTTTATCGAACCATTCGCGCTTTACGGTTCTTTCCCAAAAAGTGCTTGAGCCGCGATTCGGCTTGCGCAGTGGAGCGGGTCTCGCTACATCGAGAAAGGGTTCATCTGGGATCAAAAGGTGAAACTCCGATTGGCCACAAACGCGCACACCGCTCGCGCAGTGGCCGCCTTCTTTGACCCCTCTATCTCGAAATTTTATGCCGGTAAAACGATGGTCGTCTCTCTCTCTTTCCCGTCCACGCTTCAGCAATGGATAAACGCTCCTGCCACGCGAAGAACATCGTGAAAAAGTACCACAAAACACTCCTTCACGCGTTTAGCGAACCACGCGCAGTGGTTCTCCCTACACACCGCGGAAACTCGCTTTTCTTCTTTAAGCACCAACAATTATGCCTCACTGACGTAATTATCATAAGCCAGCTGGGAATCCTTAAATTTCATACGCGATCAAAATTTCTGAATCAAATCGCAATACGATATATTTATCCGAAAGAATCATAATCCAGCTCGTGAAGAAAGACAAATCATTTCAAAAACAAAAACTGTCAGATTCTTGTAATGTAGAGAGTCTTTCGAGTATAATAAAGTAAAAATGTTCAATGTCAAGTGATATTTTTTCAAAACTATAAAAATCCAAAAACAGAAGCAGTTAGATACAGGTTTCTGTGATATAGTGAGTCTTTGAAGTATAATAAAGTAAAAATATTCGATGCCAAGTGCTATTTTCCCATGTATCCTTAGGCGCGACTTTCCGCGGCGATGATAGTCCTTGTCGAAGCATATCGTGCTATTTCTGTTTACGGGCACGGTATGCGGTCCATTTTCGCGAATGGCGCGTCCATTAGTCTCCGGGCTACCTGTGCCAATCTCAATGTTCATCCTTGCGCGCCGTAAATCCACTCGGCTCCACGCTTTCGCGGCTAAAAGGACCAATGGCGATTGTGTGCCCTTTCTACCGTGCGGCTCCCTGTCATCGATCCTCCGCCCGATCCACGTCTGAGTTATTTCGTCTTTGCGCGAAAGAGCGTGTATTATTCTTTCCTTGTACATTAGACACCTCAACACGCAGCGTCGCGTCCGCGAATGTGGTCATTATTAATTCTGCCGTCCGTGTAAATCCGAATAACGTAACCATTACATTAGAAATTGCTGTTATCCGTGAATAGAAAAAAAAAATAAATAGCGCAACAATTTATTTAAAGGGCTATAAGGCTACTCGAGAGAACAGCGTGCCATTTCGCGTGTGCATAAAAATAGTACTCGATTTGAAGGGAATTTGAAGAAGAGATTTGAAGAGAATACAAGCGCACCCATTGAAACAAAGTTTCACTGCGTCTCAAGTGTGTTTGAAATGAAAACGATGCGGACGAATCCTCGCGAATGTCTCCTCGACGTCACCGTCAAATTGACGGAACGCCCTGGCGCAACGACGACTAGCTCGTTTTACGTTTAGACGCGAATTCACGTCCCGCCCGACTCTTGTGTCGCGTATGCTCTTTCGCACGCCGATTACACGCGGGGTTGGACGTTTTACACGTACTTGCGACCGGGGCAAATATTGAACCTTAAATACATGGAGTGAAATGCGCTTAAGCCGCGTGTCGTTAGGTGCGAAGAGAGGAAGTAACGACATGGTCAACGCGCACGTTAATTTACGGCCGAGGACATTACTTCCTAGAAGCTAGAGCGGACTGCTCGAACGCTCTTTATAAATTTTCCGCGGTCGGCTAAATGTCCTCCCGAAAAACCGTCTCCGAAAAATCGCCAATTCGTGCCGTTAATCGCCGCGATCATCCTCGTGATCGTGTGGATCCGCGTATGGATGAGGAGCGGCATTTGTATCATTGATTCAATTAACATGATCCGTTTGTTTCCTCGTTAGAATTGCACGCATTTGGACTGTACGCGATTATTCGCGGCTTATATGCTTTATATTGCGATCCAAGCGTTCTCCCGTAAATGTTTCGGATAAACGATCCATTTGCTCGCTACGAAGTTTACTCTCACGTTTGATGCACGCTGCGCCAGGTAATTGAAACGATCAATCAAGCACCTGAGAAAAGGAGGGTGAGCTCACGCGTGCACAAACCGCCGTGGCTCGTGTTCACGCAAAAGGGGAAATGCGCGATCACACCTCAGCTGCGAGCAGTTAAAACCACATCTCTCTGCGTCTCCCACACCGAAAAATAATATTTCCTAACATGTTCTCTATACGTTAAAATATGTTGAACTCGCGAGAACTCTCAAATGTTTTCATATTTTCATCTGCTCATATCATTAATCTTCTTTCCTATCTGTTTGCCTCTGTATGTTATTTTGCTCTTTTCAGTATTTTCCTTAAATTTTCTTTTCTTACACAGTTTCAACGATATACGTTCAACTTGCAAGGAAGTTAAATTGACACATTTTCATCGCTCTTGCTCAGCAAGCGCCGAGCGTGTAAACGTATTTATATAAACAATTTTTGCGCGATATATATATTTTATTCGATACGAGCGGTTTTGCGACTACGACGCCATTAATAATCGCGTGCGAGACGTTTATTTCAGGTGAGAGGACGAGACGCGAGGATTCTTTCGAAATTGCGCGATTAATTTTCAGTAAGCCCGGCGTATAACTGGCCGCTTTCGGTGTGTGTACAGATATAGCCACTCTCGCGAGATATTAGACAGGTGAGCGCGTTCCCAGGGGAACAAAGCCCCCATTACCCTGTCTTACCACCTCGACCTGGACGCCCCGGCAGACCCTCCGCCGCTGAAACATTCATAAGAGCGTTGTAAGTGGTTTTTAATAAACGTATTTAATCATGAGTGTCGGGTTACGCGTAAATCGGCTGGCTCTGTTACCGATCGCGGTGGGATTAGTTATGGATTTAAGCAGATGTTCTACCCGCGTTTGCAGGTATGCGGGTATTCTCCTTCTCGATTTTGATATCGAGACATGTTTGAGCTAAGCTACATTGCGAAGAAAATAAATCTATTCGCGTGGAACATAAGATTTATTTCTATGAAATAAACTTATGTCCCACAAATGAATTTTCAAGTATTTTTTCTCAATATATAAATAGCCCCTCGTTTTCTATGTAAATTTATCTTTAAAAAATATATTTTATACACATAACAAAATCTAATATAATATATTCGTTATTATTTATATAATTTATTCGTACAATATGTAATACAAACCTGTAATCATTTCAAATTTCATTTTTAGGAGAATATTGATAATAAATTGTAACTAGGCACTTATTAAAAATAGAAGTTAGAAAAAATCAGGAAAAATATAAAAAATATCTTAATAATCTTCACATGTCTGTAATAAATTTATTAAACACAATATGTTTTGTCAACTGTACGTTGAAACTTGGAGAAAATTATTTCTGCATTTATATTTTTCTCTCGACGTATCTACAATAAAACTGTAGTAATGTAGCTTTTACAGCAACGTTACGGTTAAAGCAATTATTTCTAGCGGGCAAGAAGCTTATCGCACGAGCGTGTCGCCTTTTCCTCACAGTCGTCTCTGTGTCTCAGCGACAAACTGCCGTGACACAGCTCGAATAACATCAAAAATATCATCGCGACGTAGTAAAAAAAACGCCGTGATAATGCATTTTCTCGCGATTTTTTTCGTAATTTGCACTATATCGGCGCAAGAATGCTTCGACGACGGCAACGAGTTCTGTATAAACCAAGACGACATACTTTCCATAGATCTTTTGCCTGGAACGTTTCTATTCGCTGATCAAAACACCTCCAACACAAACAAACCCGTGACAAACGAAAACCTGGACGGGTCTTTCGAGAGAGCGTTAAACGAAATGGATTATCATAGGTAAGGTAAGAATGTGATTCCATTGAGATGTCAAATATTAACAAACTGCAAAGCTGAAAACGCACGCACACGTGAAGCTTTTGTTGATATTTGATCGATTCACAAAATGTTGATATTTGATCGATTCAAAAATCAGGAAGAGAATGAACGAGTATCTCTGTCACGGCTACATGGCAGAGGAAATTTTCAAGGAAGTGAGCACTCCCAGAGTAAAGCGACGTCCCGAGTCATCGCCAATCGCCAACGACAACCTGCACAATTTCTTAGGCAATGACAATGTGACGATACACGACAAGCTTCTATCGGACGAGGGAAGCTCGAAGTACAAAAATTGGCTGCAACGGTAAGCACTGAATTGAAGAATTGTGAAGATGTCCGGATTCTATTCGCTATCGATTCTGCTTGCAACTACGACGTAACGTTGAACAAGAAGATTTTGTCACACAAACTTGAGAAACACTTTGCGGATTCCCGTTGCACAAAATACATTTCTCTTGAAAAAAAGAGTTAAACAACCCTCTACTCGTAACAGCACAACCACGCTAGATGATATATATCGACACTACGCACCTCGTAAGAAGATAATGAAGAAACAAGACGGCCAACACAAGGACATCGAAGAGTTCGATGGCGAAGTGACGGGTTACGCGATGCAAGCTCCTCTGCCATCCGGAAAAGTGGGCTTCTACGAGCCGTCTCACGAAGGTAAAGATCCCAGTGGCTGCGGCGAAGTCGGATTCGCTGACGCATGACGTTTGTATGTTGCACCGAACAGGTGACATGTTATCGTCTTCGTCGGGGCATCACAATTTTCATTACGGGCCGGCGTTTGGCCACCACTATGGCGACCATTTCGGACACCACGGCGACTTCTTCCCGTCCATCCACGAGGAGTTCTATTACGTACCGCAATCTCATCATGATCAGGAGGAGGATCACGGGCCCGTCTATGACAAAGGGAAGAGCCACGATCTGTCTGTCAAGGATTTCTTCGAAATTGCGCTTACCGCGCTTGCCTTCTTAGCATTCGGACTGTTCATCATTCAATTGCTGATGAACGCGGTATTCAAATTTGGTCTCATTTAAAAACTGCAGACAATTATTTTCTGGAAACACGTTCCAGCAAGGATAGCTTCTTTTGCTGCGCATAAGTTGTGTGACGCACCACAGTGTGTGAGAATTTCAAGGTGTTTCTTATATTTTAGAACAATAATCCGCCCATGATGATGACTACCGGCAGGCAACGTGCCAAGAGACACGCAATTCCTATGTCTTTGTCCTCCGCCAGCAATGAGGATCTGAATGACTTGTCGTATCGCGTCTTGAGATCCATAGAAGCGGTTATGGTCGCCGAGACGGACTCGGGAAATTGTCTGCGCAGGATACTGTGCGAGAATAATCGATACTCCAGGGAAACCAACGACGGCCGCAGGATTTGGGTTCCCGTTTGGAGGTAATAGATAGTATTTTAACAGACAGCAACTATCTCAGCGATTATTAGAATATCATCGTGATCCTGAGAGTTGGTCGGCGGAGTATCAGTAGTCGGCAGTTCGGAGTTCACGCCTTGAAATCGCTAACGTCGAGACCAACCTTTTCAGCTTGGGTATGAGCTGGTTGTCGGGTAGGGTGTTGAACAGGGCTCCGTGGTCGGCAAGGTTGGACTCTGTGAAGGCATCTATTCTCGGTCTGGGCGGAATCGATTGCGCCTCCTTCTACCCTGGATGCAATCTCGAAAAGGAGGGCATCAAAAGACGTCGCAGGAAGAGAAAATAATGATACTTTGGAAGTCAGACAGTATAGATAGAACAAAAATTGCAAGCGAACACTTCAGATACTTTCGTACACGATCTGTATTCATAAACAGCAATGATGGCAGCACGGTAGATCCACAAGTGTCGTAATATACGTTCTATGATAGTTATAAATACGCAATATAACCAGAGCGCGTCACGTTGCATTGTTGTCATTATCAGCGGCATCGCCCTGATGAATACACGTGTCACCGCGTGGAATGGACAGAAGCGTTGCGTGTGTAGTTCCACTGGGGCATACATGAAAGACGCTCCTATCGCCTCTGTCTCGCAACGGCCGACAATTTGTCAAAAGCGGCACTTCACGCTTGTCGTACAGCGTGCGGAACTGTGCAACCTCGCGAAGGACAAAAACGAAGTTTACTTTAGGATGAATTATTATGAAGCGGTTCAGAAATCATTTCCGACGAAAATAGTCAATACTTATCTTTTCTAAACAATCGCGCAGGGAGAGATAGATAGGGAATGAAACGGAAATTATTTATGGCTTGATTAACTACTTGTACGTACGACAAACTGGCTCATCTAATAACCGCTGAACCGCTTAACGGTACATTTTTCACTGCGACGCGACTTACTTGCTCCATAGATATTCCTACCGGTTCTCTGCTTATTACCCAAAGTACGCTGTTCCTGTAACTTATCATCTTCACAGATCCCCAGTACACGAAGTAATCGCGTTGAAAGCATCGCATAATATTCGTTATGAGGAAGGGCGTTAGACGGACAGAAGAATAAGCTGCTTGGACCAAAGGCAGTGCCCTCAGGATACCGTCTAAAAGTGGATTATGATCTGCCTGTAACTAAAGAAATAATATTATTCAACGCGTGCTTATTATTTTTCTAACGTTTGAGCGTAGAATATTACCGTTTCTCTCACAAAGCATTTGGCCTGAAATATATTAAAAGCACACATTTTCCTCTGTAGAGAAAAATTATGCAGAAAAAAGCAATTTAATATAGGAATTATTAAATTATTCTATTAAAGCAAACGAAAATTATATTAAGTTACATTATATATAATTATAATAAAATTATATTATATAATAATAAATTAAATATATTAGATTATATATAATAAAATTATATAATATTATACAATTTAAAATATTATATTATATGATCAAATTATATTAAAAATTAGCGTTTCTTTTTTTTCCAAATAACCTATTTTAATACCTCAAATAAATATACTAAAATGACGACACCGTCGTCCCTGCGAAGAGCCGCTTCCTGGGTCTCGTAATCACTCTTGAAATGCACCGCGTGCAGTTCCATTGGCATGCTTCGCACGAATACATTAACGTTAAAAGTACGGATAAATGTGCATTACGAGGTGGCAGTAATTTCAGCAAGAAAACTAAACGAAACCTCCCACCGTCGACGTAGTGTTCGCTGCCGTCCATATTGGTCTCGCCCCAGTGAAAGTGGATTTGCGAGAAAACATAATTACTCGCAAAAGGACCGTCCCGCAAATACGGCCGTTCTGCCTCCCATTTTCCGCTGAGAATCACTGCGCGCGATCATTTTTTCGTAAATAATTTTGCATATGCAATTTCTTATCGAGCACAAATCCTTCTCCCTTTTTACCGGTGTATCCAGTATTGGTGAGTTTCAGTTTCTTCGGCATAACGTTGTAATTGTACCACAGCAAAGGATTTAATTCTATGACTTTCATATAACTGATATTCAAATCGATCGGTGATTCCAGTATGTCCTCGATGTTAGCCAATTGCTGTATCAATTGAACATTTTCTTTATTGCGCTCGTAAACATCTGGTCACGGAAATCGATATTTGATTATATACAGTCCTTATAAGCAATCCAACATTAATTTGCACATGTTGTACCTGTCAAAGAGCTCATGTCGATTTAATAATATTTCACCGCAGCGTATACACGTTACTGATTGATGGATTTATGATAAATTTTATCTGATGAACTTTATCACAGCTCCAAACGCAACATTCACTCACTTCTATTTGCGCGAAGTTCATATCGAGCTGCTCATCGATATGCGGCAGTACCATTGGTATCATCGTGGTTTTTTTCACTTTATGAATATAAAATGAGATAAATATATGGTGTGTGCATACATCTGCGCCCCGAAAAGAAGGAAAAAGTAGAAAACCGGTATGTCAAGCGTAGAGAGTAACAGGTTTGAAGATGAAACGAGTTACTTAGATTTTTTCACTCGCGTGACGGGAAAAGATAATATCGGATATTTCCAGATAAGATGTAAAGCATCGCTCGTTGTTGACGGAAATGGACTTTGCGCGGAAAATCAGCAAATCCGACGAACCGCTAACCTGGAAGCGGTCTCGCATGCCGATCATAACTACCAGGGATAACCCCTTGTCCGAAAGCGATGCATCTCTTTCAGAAGACCGTCGTCTCGTGAATTGGAAGAGATGGCTCGCAGATCGGCAGAGACGAAGTCGTCGTATCGAACTCGTTACCGGCCGCTCGCAAATCGATCAGCTGCAAGGCTCCTCGGAGAGGCATCGTGCTTACGTCGAGACGAAAGAGCTGATGGAACACGCGAGCATTCCGGTACCCGTAATTCCCGATAAATATCGCGGCGGGCCGGAATTCTGGAGAACAGCCGAGCTGCTGCCAGATCGCGGCGACGATTCCCTGCCGGAAGTGTCGTTGACGTTCACGAGAAAGCAGCTGAACCTTCCTCCCGACTTGACGCGCATCGGATTGCCGGATTTAACGGCGAAGGAGCGGGATCTCGTCGGATTGAAAATCAAGGAAGAACCCTGGAGACGTGACGAATATCTCAAGACGCGCAAACTCGAGCTGGCTAGAGAAATCTCATTGCTGCTGCCCAAGGAGCCGGAAATCGCGGCATTGGCCGTCCGAGGACGGGCATTTCGAAAGAAGAAACCGCGACCGCGAATTCCACTGATATCCATTACAAAGCCCGACGAAGAGGAGTCATGCGAGGATGTCGATCAGACGACGATTCTGAAGATCCAAGATCGAGAATTCATTTGGAGGAAGTGTTCTTGCGGGACGGAGGCAACTGACGCCGAAGCCATTATGTGGTCTGTAACTTTCGAGAGTAAGATCGATGAGCGAGTCGAAAAGGAGATCTCTCTCGAGAACAGAGGCAGCCGCGTAATCTTGTATCACTGGCGGGATTCGTCGTGTCGACTAACCGGCGCGACCATCCGAAAGCGCAGCAGTCCGTTCTTCTTTAACAAGACGAGAGGGCTCGTACTTCCAGGTCAGTTCGCGAGGATCAAGGTATGGTATCGATCTCGCGTTCACGGGGTCTCCACCGAGTGCTGGCGGCTCGTCACGGAGCCGAGACTGAGTCCCTCGGAATTCGTGTTCCGTTTCTGGGGCTGCGCGGTCGATGGAGACACAGAATCGACGGATGATCGAGCGATCGATGAGTATCTGGATCGCCGCGTTCGTGACTCGATCGTACGTTCCATCGTCGAGGAAGTTGTAGCCGGTGTGGAGCACAGCCAGCCGCCCGAGCCGGTTTACAAAACACTATTTTTGGAGAGCGATTTGTTCAGCTCTCTGAATCCTCGTTACTTCTACCATCCGAGTGTTGTGATGCAACTGCGTGAAATGCATCGCGAGATCGCCGATGAAAACGCGCCAGCCTGGAACTTGTCGCTGGATATTTTGCGAAATACTCTTTTACAAATTGGAGAGACAAGCTACAGGCGCGATATGCTTGCGCGATTTTACGAGCTCTGTAAACGGTGTCTCAGGCCCACTTTACACGATGTTACTCGCGACAACAAGAGCGACGCTGTGTACGACGTACTGTGCGCTTTCGCGAATCTCTTTGAAGCTGAAAGCGATTTTGTAAAAAATAACAGCTTGATACGAGAGAAGCAGCCCGTGGCCACGTTGAAAGTGGATCACAAGCCACAAAGATCAACATCTTTTTCGCGAGGAACCAATAATAACTTGCGAGAGGCGCGTGGCGCGAAGTCGACCGATCAATCGCAAAATATACAGACGCAAAACAAACAGGGAACTCTTGACTTAAATCTTCAGCCATACAGAGAAGCGTTCTTTATCCGCATGTATAAAGCTTTAGAAGAAGCGGTAGGACGAGCCTGCGCCATTGTCGATTCGTTTAATAGACTCAATCGACCGGAGAAACAATCGTGAGGTGTACACAGATGATCCCATCTATTTTCAAACAGTGATAGGAAAAATATATAATATAGAGAGAATATATAGTGATAACAAAATAATTAATTTGACAAATGTTAAGAAATATGTTATTGAGTGTTCTTCAATTGATATCTTAATCATAAAGGTGTATGAAAAATGGTATAGGATTTTGTTTGATGTGTTTTGTGCACGATGGAAATCGTACTTAAACCCATGCACCCTGTGTAATAATATAATTTATGTGAAGTATATATCGCGAGAATATATTACAAATTATTTCTTTACACTTTGATCTTCACAATATTATTTATAATATTTATATTATTTATATTATTTATATTATTTATAATATTAATCTTTCCACTATTATAATAGACGAGATGAATAAAGGAATAGATTCTGTCGCGAATGTAAGAGTCGCGTGTTTGACGTGCTTCGATCGATCACGATACTCGACTCTTTCAAATGGACAGTGGAAGAGGGACATAGGCACGTGTGAAAGAAATTGCTTTTTATTTTATGTCGCTATGTCGACTATTTTGTGAGTTAGAACCGTTTAAATCTGCGACATCGACGTCAGACTTCGAGTCGGCTCAACGTTTGCGCGAGACGCGCCACCTATTGTCGGCACACTATGTTTCACTGGTTTGTCTCGCTGAACGAGAGAAATAACGGGGTGACGCGTGGCTGAAGTGAGCACGTGGTCGATGCGACCATCTTTGTTTGAACGACGGAGTGGGGGCAAGGCCGTTGCCACGCCGCTGCGTGCCATCACGTACGCGTTCGGCCTACTGTTTACGCGTCGCGTCTTGACCTACGCCACAGTTGACCCACTTTTAAGGATTAGAGCGCGAGTCGATATAAGCGTCAATAATTTTACTCGCAGACGCCATAGCGGCTTGAAATAAAAACCGTTGGAAAGGGAAAATTACCGCGCATCCGATAGACGTGAAGTCGTCCTACTGTAGAATAAAGATCAGATGGCACAATTATGTAAGTACAAAAGGCATCAGTTTTTGCGTTTGTGTTGCGAAGTGGTTATTAATCTGTGTTAAAAACCAATGAATCTTTTGATTTGTATTTGTAGTACGAAGCATCAATTTTATGTTTCTGGCGGGTATAAAGCACAATTTAAATTTTAAAAGGAACGCAAAATAATAATTATGGGAACTGTGTAATTTTGTGATATATTTATATATTTAACTCTCTGACATATTCTGAGTATATCATGAATATGAGTATGTCAAATGTATTCTGATATAAACTGATATATCCTTAAAATTGGTTCTAATTCATTTATATATTTATCAGTTAATCTATTAATAAATTTTAAATGTTTATTTGCTTCACGGAATTATACAGAACTAATACATAAAAATTGATATGTATTATAGTTTCATATTACATTCACAATTCTTTTACAAATTCTTTTAAAATTTGAACTACTTGTAAAAATTAAAGCATTATGTATTGATTAGTTCATGATAATATAACAAAAAATTAAAAATTAAAAGTTTTAAAGATAAAAATCTTTGTCAAGATATTGCTAAAAATATCTTTCGCTCGCGTAAAGGCTGAATATCTTTCCGATTTGATTTGATGAATTCACCGTTTTTGTCCTTCAACTTTCTAAATTCGTTAACCTGAAAATTTTATTTAAATATATTTAAACATTATATTATATTATATTATACATTTATAAAAAAAAGAAATTTATCGACTTATAAGTAATTAATATTAATTTCAGATTGATAAAGACTATTATCATGCAATAATCATCTCGCAAGATTTCTTTTTTTGATTAATCGCATCCCTATAATCTGCAGAAATAACTCACTTGGCACGATCGTATCGAATTAATAGCTGGAAATACGATCCATTGAACACACTCCGGATTAGTACCAATATTATAAGATCCATGGTACGTGTAATAACTCGAGCAGTCTGTTGCTATTCGCATCCAAGATAAAGAATCTGAAATTGCGGCAATATCGTTAGATTTCAAATATTGAGATAAATCTTTATTTCCTGGACATTCACTTGGCGGAATTTTCGTCTCTGAACCAGCGTCCTGAATGTACTTCAAATTTGCTGAGATTCTTTCAAATTTGATATTGTTCCACTGACAAGATCCTGGTTGCACCTGCAAGATACTCATTCATAAAAACGAATATAAATATTCTTGCATGCATATTATAAGTCGTTGCATACCAAAAATAAATAGGCTAACACGCAAAGACCATCTCTATGTTTTAGACAATCTTCAAAGGTTAAATATTTCCGGTTCCAGTGCACCATATGACATTCCATAGAGAACCTACGATTTTTTCAAATATGAAATTGTGGATAAAACTTTTAGATTATTTTTTCTTAAAATGATTACAGTCGATTAAAAAACGAGGTAGCCAAATATATCTAACATATATGCTCCGGTGAAATAATATTTTTAGTACCAAGTACTATTGATCGTATGTTCAGCGCCTCTGCAATCGTCTTCACCCCAATGAAAATGCGCATTATGAAATTCGTATTCATCGTTCATCAGCGGTCCACCGGACACCGTTGATGGAATTCGATCGCCGTTTAAAAAAACTTGAGCTAGTACGAAGACAGATATTCATTAAATCTAATCGATTGCAAAAATAATATTCGAGCTGAGATATATTAGAACGAACTAAATTACCTGTCATACCGTTGTTAAATAAAATTGCGTTTCCATCCTTCAGCCAGTGTCCATTTAAGATTAACGGTGGAAATCTCTTAGGATACGTAATTTCGTCAATCAGATCGATCGGTGATTGACCACTCTTTTCTGAAGCTTGAATTAATATCTTATTGGGGTGTATAACGTGTAATATAAAAGTAATACGTGTAATGTAAAAATAACCTGATCTCTTATATATTTCCTTTATTGCTTACTCACCATCTGTGTAACTTATCATTGTCGCATTAGTTTAAAGTAATTTATCAAAAGAAGATAAAGCTATAGAATTTTGTACAAAATGTAAACCTCTCTTAAAACGGCCTGAAACTCACACTCAAATGTACTGAAACGGTTGAGGTCTCTTTTCCGCGATGCTGATCAGTTGTCTTGTTCGCGACTTGCTTCACGTGTATCGTTTGCGGCTGTCAAATTATTATGTAAATTTTGACAGTCGGCCTTTCGTGAGTTTAATGTTACACAGTATGAAAAGAGAGAGAAATACAAGTTAATAAAATTAAAAACACCATACAATAAAATGAAAACTGATAAAAGATATTTTACCATTTCAGAGTGCAAAATCGATTAAGTTCTTACAAAATTTTCATGTTTCATTTTTAAGTTTCGTTGTTTGTTATTAATCTTTAAAATTGGCCAATTTACATACAAATTTTTGCTAAAGCAATTTTTTTTCCTAAGTAATAAAATTTCTCGATTCGATCACTCTACTGCGTCATCTGTGGCGTAGAAAATTCTTCTTCCATGAAGAAGATGTTGGGATCTATAGTTTCTCACTATATGTTCCCACTTGTGGTTATAAAGACTTCTGAAAGCTTCTATCTGTTGCAGAATACAAATAATAATATACAAGTAGCGTTTTTAATTGGATCTTTTTTTTTTAATTCAACTTACATATTTTTCTTAAATACCTGACGAAGAGAGATTCTTATCGCACTCGGCAAAATTATCCAAATAACGCACTCATTATAAGGGGGAAGGGTAAGCGAGCCTGAATAAGTGTAATATGTGGAGCACATGAGTGCATGCGTCATCCAACGTAAACAATCTGTGAATTATAATTATATAATCATTTAAAACAGATGTCAGTATTGATAAAACTAACCAAAATTACGTTAAATACAAAACTTGAATTGAATTTTCCAGCGCACAATTAAGTTTTTTTCATAAGAGCAAAAAGTATACAATTACAAAAAATATATAAATTTGTTACAATTGATTACTTTTGCTTTTGATCGAAAATAATGAAAAGTGAAAGGTAAAAATCTTCGCAAAGAACACAATCTATTTCTTCGGAAGATAGATATTTGTTTACTTATTCCTTTGATTAAAAATTATCTTATATTCTAGAATTACCAGGCATAATATTCACAGTGCTACCCATGCGTTTTATTTCCAAAAGCTTATCAGTGATCGGAGCGAGTGCGGAATTATCTGCAATTCCCGAGCAGCCGACCACCTTTTCATCACAAATATATATCTACTTCAATAAATCGTAACAATGGCCGAAAATACAATAGCTTACGTAAAAATGTCGGAAAAATTGTATAAATCCTCACGTGTCTTTCCGACCAAATTTTTATTTAACTTTTTGTTACCTGCATGAGATATGAGAGTATTGCAATCCCATCAGGCTTGTCGTAGCATTTGTCTATTGATCCGTAACGCGTATTCCAATGCATAACTTGCGCCTCCATCGAATACCTTTTTAAATCCACGTTTAAAAATTATATTGACTGTTATATTAAATATTCAAAAAATAAATAAAAGCAGAATTTATTCGGCTCGTGAGACCAAGAATGTGTGCGATTTTAATTAAAATTTATATCTAAATGAAACAACAATGGATGGACGTATTTACTCAGTGTTCTGCGTACGTTATTTTTAATTCTTATTGACTTGAATTCATTTCACTAACCACGCGTTATTGATTGAATGTTCCGCGCCACGGGAGTTACACGAGCCCCACCGAAATTGTGCGTTTATAAATTGAAATTCGTCATCTTTCAAAGGACCGCCGCGCATTGTCGGCATTTTCCTATTCGTCAATTCCACATTAACTGAAAGTGGTTGAAACTATTAAATATATTCAGTAAATATATAGCACATTAATTCACAAACTTCTGCATCGAAAGGAAGGCGAAATAACCTGTTGTGCCAGTGTTCGTGATTGTCGCTGTGCCATCATTTGACCAATAATTAGTCAAAAGTAAGAGTGGAAATTTTTTCGTCCACACAGCGACTTGATTAATATCAACTGGTGATTGTCGCCATTTCGGTAAACCCGAAGATGATGTCGTGCGTAATTTTTCTCCTTGTGCAAAACGTAAATAAATTATATTTACTTTATTAGATAAACACCCGTGTAAAACACATTTATTTTTAAGTAAATGTGTGTAGAAAAAGCAATCTTAATAAATTTGTTACAGCTACTGAATGAAGTGTTTGTTGAACACATAATTATTATTGACTTACGTGATCGTGTGCTTCTGGATTTGGATGTCATTTGTACATCACAATTTCGAAATTCCGCACGTAAATGATGAAATGAAATTAAGTGTTTATTGCTTTTAAACGGGACATGTTACATTTCATTGGATATTGCAATCCATCTCTTCGCGCTCCCTTCATACTGTCTTTGCAAGTTGAAGTGAGTTTCACCGATTTTCGAGATTAAGTAAACCGTCATTTGACGTTCCATGCCGTTTCATACTTATATGAAAGTATTTTTGACAGAAATTGTTACGTCGCGAAATGCACGAGAAATTCTAAAGTGCACTGTTGCTTGTAAGCATACGTACGCATACATATGCATAAAAATTAGTAGTATCAGCGATTTTATACGGTTTCGATGAGGAACTCGAAATTACATGTGTGACTTGAATTGCATTATGACAAAAATGGACAATTCAGACTATATGATAGTGGTTTGCTGCGTCCTTCTTTCAAGTACGTATTACAAAAAGACAAAAAGTGACAATTAAATTATGGATAATTGCTAATTGATATCGCGATCAAGAAAAATTATACCAATGACACACGTCTTGATCTTCGAATGTTGAGAATAGCTTCGACGAAATTAAGGAATTTTCATAAAGTAATATAAAATAAAATAGCGATGCAAAATCCGGGTAATAGTTACATGTTTAAATAAATACCAGCCTATATGACTTTTATGTCATATTTCGAATATTCGTATGCTACTCTTATCATGAATCCCACTGATGTCACGGTAACATTTCCTTTACTGAAGTATTTCTGCTATTCGAAATCGTGGAATGGATATTCAAAGTATTCACATGGACGGATAACGATGTGTGTCTCCCTCCCACTTTTTCGTTCGGATACGCTCACAAGAATGGTCCACATACTTGGAAAGATCTATATCCTGAAAGCGCCGGTAGCAATCAGTCACCCATCAATATCACCACCAGATACGCAATTGTAGTACAACCATCCGAACCGCTTCGATGGATCAATTATAATAGCGTCCCTCTGTCAACGACCCTTTCAAATGATGGGCATACTGGTAAATATTTTGCAAACTTAATGATTTGAATCAAAAATAATTTCCTAGCGAAAATAACAAATATTTATTTTTCCTGAATACTCTCTCTCTCTCTCTCCCCCCCCTCACACACACACACACACACACACACACACACACACGGGAAGAACTGTTTATCATTATAGCTAGAAACACAATTTATTATTAATAAATTATTAAGTTAAATATCGACACGTCATCATTAATAAATAATAAATCAATATTATTAATATTAAACAATATACTGAATAATAATTAGACCATGCTTCTGTTTCACATGATGAATATTTATACGATGAAAATACAAATGTTACTTCTCATTCGATTCAATATAATTAGACGGTACGTTTCAATGAATTATAAAGGATTTCTCGTAATTCTCTTATCCTGTCCTACTCATTAATTTACAGCATGATTGAAATTAAGTAGAGCAATTAAAATGATATAACATGTTCTTCGCATCGCATATGTTTACTTTATAGTAATACTTCGGGGATTTTGGGATCAATCCTCATGGCCTCAGCTTCAAGGAGGGCCTTTATCCGATAAATATGATTTCTTTAACATACTCTTTCACTGGGGCCCTTCCAACCAAGAGGGCAGCGAACACACTTTGGATTACATACGTTATCCCATGGAATTGCAAGTTATTCATATGAAGCACGGACTTAAGTCGCCAAAAGACGCGATCATATTGGGAGCGAGGGACGGAATAGTGATAGTTTCATTCTTCCTCCAAGTATGAACTTTTCCTATCGGCAGGGAACATTGCGTAGCATAATTTTCTCATATCGAAAAGCCAGTCGAATACAACGCGTACTTATCATACTTGATAGTAATGTGCCCCATAATATTGCAGATAAACGCTATGGATAATCCTTATCTGGATCATATCGTGAGTAATTTGTGGAAAATTTCCAATCCAAGCCATTACAAAACCAACATACCGCCTTTCCCATTGGAATGGATTTTTGCACCTTTCGACAGAGATTACTATACGTACAGCGGTTCTCTCAGTCAACCTCCTTGCAACGAAGTCGTCACCTGGATTATCCAAAAAGAACCGATCGTTATATCTGCGTTGCAAGTAAAGCAACACATTAAAGCCGTTAATATATTTATTGTTGACTTGATAATTGACGGTACATATAATCGTTTATCGTAGGTGGAAAAATTTCGAGAAATCTGTTCAGTAGATGGCCCATTACTTCTAAACTGTCGACCAGTTCAACCGCTAAACGAACGGGATGTTTACTTTTACGAAGAAAGCAAGTTGTAATAGGTCAGTATTTCTTTCTTTTATTTTTTAATTTTTACGTACAAATTAATTTGCTGTTGTAAATTTTTGTGTGGTGCACTGCGTACGTAAACGCTGTTTCCTTTTATTTGTATATTAATTTCGGCAAAATATCGGCAAATTTTAGTCCTACAATATATAATTTCAAATTTAAATGGAATTCTCGACATTAATTATTAATTTGACCAACAGTGATACAATATTAATTGCGTTGTATATATTGCGGCTTGTAATAATGTAAAATGAATAGAAACACCATTTTGCACAGAGAACAATATCTTTATTATCATTACGACGCGTTCTATAAACACGCAGAATATTTCTCTCTCTCTCTCTCTCTCTCTCTCTCTCTCTCTCTCTCTCTCTCTCTCTCGCCAATTGTCTTTACAAAATAAAAATATATTAAAATTTGTATCACACTCATTATACAATAAATTCCTTTGGCACAAGTTATCATAATACATTCTTCGAAAATTAGTTTTGGAGAGGAAAGCGTTTCCTTGATTACAGAATATATATATATAACGCATTCTTGTACATCAATATTGTATATATATATATATATATTTTTTTTTTTATAATATATATGTGTGCATTTCACCCATTCTAATAAAATGGACGACAAATGTCTATAAGAATCTAACACACACGTACACACGATTATTAGAGAAGAATGTAGCTGATTGGAAGGGGGGGAGAGAAGAGGCATGTTCATTTTTCTCTTAAACTTCCGTCTTATTTCTTATTGCCAGAAGACTTTAAAAAAGATTATTTCGGCAGTTTATTATCATAAACTTTCCAATTATTAAATTAATTAAACATAGACAAGTGACAGAATTTAATGACAGAATTTAATGCTTTTAAATAAGGAAAATTCATTTTTCTCTTGTTCTTTCTAACTGCACTATCTCTAACTAAAGAACTCAACTGTTTAAACAATTGTTCGATATAATGGAAACAATATTATTTTAATAACACTAACGGTGTGTATAGAAAAATTCCTGGATGCTATTCCGATTATGTCCACCTATCTCACTAAGCCCCAATCTCCTCTACATACACTCATACAACGTCATTTATTAAAAAAACATATTTTTCCAAAAATGCATGTGTATAACCATGTGTTAAAAATGATTTCGCATCTCGAAATAGATAAATATTCCCGAAAGAAGGAAAAATGGCCGAAAGTTCTCACGTACGCATGTATTCAGTTGCTCGACATGTTGGCACCGTTATATATGTGTATTTACAACGCGGGGCGAAAACTTCGCGACTAACAATTCGCGCTGTTGGTCGAGCCCTGCCAGTGATCTTCGTAAAACGCCGACGATGCTATCGTAACATCGCGACTTGTCAGTACTTGAATTGAACACGACAACGACACGATATCTATATGTACAGCGGGGTGGTATTGGTCACATTCTCGCTGGCTCGAGGATGCCGCGCGGCGAACGCGCGCGCGCACAACTGGGATTAATCTAAAGATATCGATCAAGCGTGGCACTTATTGTTACAACTTGCATGAATGTTCTCTACGACCAAATATTTCACGGACTGGAACAGAAATTCAGATTACTTTCGTTCCGCGAGATCCCGTAATCGCAATTCCGCAAGTCTCGTCATTTGTCCTGATACACAAGACCGAAACAGAGCTTAGGAATTTCGAATGGCGAGAGATACATAAAAATACAAAATGAATATGTTTCTTCCCTTCTCGTTCTTTGTTTTTTTTCTTTGCTCCCTCAGTGTTATCAGTGCCGTGACATTCTTTTCACTTCACTGAGGTCGCGAACTATAAATCATTCATCCTGCATGTCCCGTATCGTCCGGCAGAGGAAGGCGGACGTTATTATTCCGAATGTCTATAATACACAAATATATTTACATGGTTATTTCTTGTCCTCACGTGGGAAGGAGGTATACCAAAATCGTTTTCTCGAGAGAGATTAATCAACAAATTTGTCATTTGAAAAAATCCTTTAAGCGGAACTTTCATCTTTTAAGCGACCTTTATCAATTGAACTTTGCAAATACATTTTGCAAAGTTGCTCGTAGACTGAAAGCTCATTTCGAAATAGAATCTCGAGTGAAACCCATCAAATAGAATCTCATAAACCTTTGAATGCGAGGTTGTCGCGTCGCTTTGGAAGCGTTCTAGCTTCTGTTCTTTGAGAAGAAGATAATGTTGTACATCAAAAGGACTCACCTGTATGCCTGCCATCGCCATGCCGAGAAACACCAACGTGAAACTCTCGCACTGCAGCCAGTTTGTGACTTTTCCGAGGCAGCCCTACAAAACGTATCATGTTATTTGAGATATACGTGACGACGCGATCTATAAAGCAACGGGTGATATTTTACGGCACGAAGCGTACTTCTTTGTGTCTGTATCCCTTCTGAGCCTCTTGGTCTTCTACTTGACACGCGGCCTCATCCTTCGGCTGCGGATGCAGCCATGGTTTCTCATTCTGCCAGCGACAAAAGATTACTCAACGTAACGCCTTGCATGCATTCGCTTTTCATCGCTGTTCTTTACTCACATTTTTGTGAAAAACCCTGGAGACGACGCTCATTGGGCTGCCCGTGTTTTTATTCTGTAAAACAAGATCCCTCGCTTTTACTCGTAGGTCGTGGCAAATCAGATACAGAATAATGAGAAACAGACGACACATTGGTATCATTAAAAAAGGTACATGAAAAAAAAGATATAGTGCACATAACCAGAAATATTCATTTGTGAGCAGCATAATTGCATCGCTCTAATTATTTTCGTGTGATAGTAATGTACTATTGATATGACTTAAAACCGTAATAATAATAGTTGTCACTTGAAACTTGTCTCATGTAAGATACTCAGATTTTTATTCAAAGTTAGATCCAAAATTTTCAGTTGAATTATATAATATACGTGACATTATATCATAATTCAACTGAAAAACTTTCATCTGACTTTAAGTTCAAATCTGAATGTCTCACTTGAGAGGAGTTTCAAATAGCGGCTATTAATATGGGCCTCAATTACTTTGATAATTACGACAACATCAGTGTAGAATGTTGCGCCTGACCTGCTTGTGACAACTCCAAGTAAGGCAAGAAATCGATTAAAGTGACATTTCTGATAGACATAGTCTAGTTGGAGCAACCAGATATTGTCATTGTAATTCAACCTCATAATTAATCTCACTATTGAATCTGGTCAGCACTACCAGACTTGTGTGTGCGAGCCAATCATACTATTTTTTTCCGTACAACATTAAACTTCACGAATGGGAGGTACCTCGGTATTTTTGAGAACGCAACACGTGAGAGGAACCTGCCTCTTGTTCCCAGAGATTTGCGCATCCCTCCACCAGGCCGTACCATTGTAATCCTCGTCGCCGTAAATTCCGCAGCAATTAAACTGCAATTCAATTATCTGTATGCTCCTCGAACCATTACAGGATACCCCGTGGAGCATAGCGTTTCTGACAAAGCGTTGTGTGCGACCCATTTATGCATGAAACACAATTTACGAGCGCGTAATGTATGTCGCAAAAAAAGAATGGGATGAGTAATTTTTAAATAGCGATGCCGAATAAAAAATACTTCGCATTATATACGAACTCGCTCTTTACTGCAACGTCATGCACAGAATTAATTACTAAATTTGTGCTCCAGCAATGCCCGCAATCCCTCGGAGTTGATATCCAAAGATGTAGAGAAGATTTAGGAAAATTCACGTTAAAATAAAATCAAGAATATCACAAAAGGATTCGACTAAAAATGAAAGGAAGCGAGCGGTTTCCGAAAGACTGACTGACTGAAAGAATCTCGAGGACAACGGTCGATTATCGATTAGCGCGATGATATCTTATATTCTACGAGGCGGGTCCGGGAGAAAATTCACGTTAAAATAAAGTCGAGAATATCGGAAAAGGGTTTAGCTCAAAATGGAAGGAGGCAATGTCAGCTCCCGGCATAAAGTCCCGATGAATGATTATTTAATAACACGATACTTTATATTGCGCGAAGTCCAGACTTTGGCTGAAGGGAATGTCGCTGGTCGGATCGTGACCGTATTCCACTGTCAGCTTGCTGGTGAGCCTCCCCTCGAGGTCGGACAGGATTTGGTAAGTCATCAGCCCGCCGATGGCAGCCGTCACCAGTTCCGTGACGATAAGCGCGACCAACATGCTCATGTACTGAGGAACGATGGCAACAAAAACATCACCGACCTTGACCCAAGGTCTATAACGGTACGCAGTGGGCGATAAAAGTGTCCTTTTACTCACGGTAGCGATGATGCATTGATTTCCGCGTAGAGCGGCGCGGCAGCCGAAGAAACCGACCGTGAGCACGGTGAAGCCGAGCCCGAGGAGGCTGTAAGCTATCAAATTAATGGTCTCGTGCGGCTTGACGTTAGATACGAACAGATTGAGGATGTCTCCCTTACTCGGCTCCAGGAGCAACCACGCGCCTATCACGAGTACCGTACAGCCGGCCAACTGTCAAAGAAACCGCATAACACTTTTATGTCCGATTGCTCGCAGATTTGCAGATCAACCGTACAACCGTCTCCTTTAAGCACTGCGAGGAGTGAATGCTGAATCAAGTTGAACGACGTCCAATTGATTTTTTCATTTCCTACAGAGACCGCGCGCACGAGCGTGCGAAAGAGACGGTCGTTTTTCTCCGAAGGATAAACTTGACAGTGCGAACGGTAATTTATAATTTCATGACGTGCAAGATAGAAAGAGAGAGCTTGTTATTTACCCATATTAACAGATTGAACGTGAATAACGCGACTTTCAAGTATTTCATGTTTGTTATCCTTGATCCTTCAACTAGTCATCAATCTGCAAATATAACAGTGTCCAGTTTTAAGCTCCAAATGACGTAAGCTCTAATTCGGCGGATTATATAAATATGAGATTCCTTAACTCCTCCAATATTCATATAATATATGGATTTATATCTGCATTGCTTTCACGCATTTTTAAGTTCCAATACTTTAAATTAATTTAAATTAATTACCATTATTTTAAATTATTTGTGAGATATCGGCAATAATTTAAAAGTTCACTTGAATTTACACGAGTTACATATGTATATCTTCTCTCAGAAGAACATTTTGCTTTATATATAAATTATTCCACTGTTTCCTTCATTTTTGCAGTAACATTTGGTAGGTGCGATTATTTTATTTAAACATTCCATTATGTAAATTGAAAATCGAACTTTTATGAGAACTTTAATTTCATTAATCCTGATAGCTATCAGAACAATTTTGAACGAGAGTTAAATCTTAGAGAATAACTGATTACTAAACCTAAACGCGCAAAAGCAAGAAAGGCAATACCACTTCCATCTTCTACAAATCTATAAAATTTGATCATTCAAGTAGAAGAGCGAAATACATCGACTATTTTTATTTATAACTAATTGATTTTCATCCCTATGTCAAGAACATCGATACCATCGATATAAGCTATCGATATCAGCTTCAACGGTTCAGAACTTTAACATTATATTCACATATTACACATAATACAAGGTTTTATAAATCCCTACTAGCATTGTATGGCCTTTATCGAATCACTTGTAGACATTACCTGTCAGCGACAAATCAACTCAGTCCACCCGACGACCGTCACCTGCCTCCGATATCTTACCGGACACCTCCGTAGCTGTCACACTGTCATGTGGTTCACCGTGACCACGTCGCACAATTACACCGAGACAATCAGTCACGAACAATCACGAACTCAGAGACACGCTCATAATCCCAGAGGTATTCCTGCGTCTCGATTCGCGTTACAAAGCTGGTTCACAGGTGGTTCGTAGGATCCTCGTAGAGCACGTCATCGCTCTACGGCTTGGGGTCCTGGTGCTCCGATTTGCGCGGCGTTCGGGATATATCGCCACGAGCGTCACGACGCCGCGTTCGAACGGGGAAGAGAGAGAAAGAGAAAGAGAGCCGACAGGGTGGACGGACCCGCCTGTTACTCGTCGATATCAAGGGATCGATGAAACCTTCGGCACTCACGTGCGTGAACGTCGCCACTGCCCTAGTCGATGCACCCTATCTGGCGGACTCGAGGATCTTACGCGGTAATCGCGACGGCGAAGCGACTAAATGCGCCGTTACCGTGAACAGTCCGAGAGTCATCTGCACGATGCCGGAACGTCTGCCCTATGGATTCCTCTTTCGCCTCCCGTCTCGCGTCCGCCGACATCCGACGCAGGTCCAGACGCGTCTGCGTGTTCCCGTCGTCGTGGCGCCGACGCTCTATCGTCGAGCATAGTTGATCCCCGCCCGTAATCGAGGACGTTCCCGTCGACGTGCTCGGGCCTCACCTACGAGCCCTCGCTTGCTTGCGCATGGGGTAAGGTATTCATCATGCAGCAGTATCGAATTATGATAACTCGTCCTATCCCGTTTCGCGAATCTTCGTCCTCAGATTATGAATATAACTCGCGAGTAGAAATGGCGAATATCTATTTTTTCCTGAACATTTTTGCATAACAAATCGATAAGCTACCCTTTGGCTTATAACGCTTATTAACCTTTAGTTGGTTTTAATCGACTCATGACACATACGTACACGTATACAAGTATTGTAAATCGATTAAAACCAGGTAAAGCCTGTTACGTATGACCGATAATAAGCGGTCAATAGGGATTGGTGATATGACTGGTAATATAACATGGAGATAAAAACGATGAGAAGTTTCTCGTAATCATGATAGGAGAGGGGATCCGAGAGTGAGTATGGGTTGGAAGAGGGTGAATTTGAGGAGGGGAAGACAAAGGAGGCATATAAGCGGGGCAAGATACGCGAGGAAGGGAGAAGAGACGAGAATAGACGAGCTGGAAGAACGGAGAGAACTGGTCTGTTATCAAGGACAGTTCGGAAAAAGTGAGAGAGACAGAGAAAGATAGAGAGAAAATGAGAAAGAGAGATTAATATGAATTTATTTCCAAATAATTATTTGTGAAGTGATCTCGCTGTTAGACTCCTGAGAATCTGGAATTGCGCATTAAAACGAGGTTTTCATTACGGCGGTAAAGGTTATCATTACGGCGAGGACAAAATTTACTACTATATCTTACACGTGACTCATGCGTGTGAAACGAACACGCGAGGGATTTTACGTGGGAATTAATTAAAACGCGCGCGGGAATTGGAGTGAACTTGTATTGAGCCTTCCTGACATTAACTAACGCTTAACAACGCGACAACGCTCGCGTCGTTCCGCGCCGAAATGCGCGTACCGTAAGGTGTATCAAGAGAAGACATCTCATTTATGTAAATATAATAAATTTATTATTAGGTATTAACAGTTTTTTACAGATTTCTCGCGCTTAAATATTGTACAGCTACAAGTAAAGATCTCAATACTATTAATCGAAGAACACTTGTAACGCATACACACAAGTCCTGGTAGTATATAGAACGCAACTTACGGCAGTGGCCACCCGCTATACGACTAGAGATATATATTTAATCAAGTCGTATCATAATTAATTTCTCCCAACGCGGTGTCACGCCGCGTAGCTCCGCAAGCTCTATCGGAATTCGAGGTGCGGAAGTCGAACGCTTCGTTCGGAACTCGGGGAGAACGAACGAGATACGTACGTGCCCGATTAAGTTACACGCTTCACCACTTAGGCCACCGACGCGTCGATGGCGCCGTGTACTGCCGTTTTCGCGGTGGTCGCTAATTAACGTTGACGCGATCGTGCGAACAAGAGCGAGGAGGAGTCGCATCGGAAGCGAAAGCCGCCGTAAAGCTCCCTACGGTGTGCCGCGTCGCGATTACGTACACGTGAGACGATTTCTGTAGGCATTGTCGTCGGTTAATTGTGATTACGATAAGGTAGAGTGACGTGAGCAAACGCAGTCGTATAAATAAACAAGTATTATAGTACAACGGGATCGGGAAAACGGGTTCATTCACAGGCTCGCAGACCGACCAGATTCATGCAAGCACACACTCACAAATACACACGGCGTTCATAAACAATAAAGAATGGAAGAAAGACGTAACTTTATCCCTAAAGCCTGTACTAATAACCATTACTTGAAACTTGTTCCATATGAAATGCTCAGATTTGAATTTAGAGTCAGATTTGAGTTTTTTATTTGAATCATACAATATATGTGACGTTACATCTGTAATTATTATTCAGCTGAGAAGCTTACATCTAACTCTAAATTCAAATCTGACTTGAGGCAAGTTTCAACTAACGATTATTGATACAGGTCTAAGGCCCGTATTAATAGTTGTCATATGGAACTTTTATCTCACATGAAGTACTCAGATTTTTGTTTAGAGTTAGGTCCAAGTTTTTCAGTTGAATTATATGTGACATTTATATCTTTAATCGCAGAAATCTGAATTCAAATCTGCATGTCTCGTCTGAAGCAGGCTTCAAGTAACAACTATTGATACAGGTCTAAGACTCATATTAATAATCATCACTTGAAATTTGTCTCACTTGTGAGATAAGCAGAGATATTCGTATGTAGAATCAAATCTTTCAGCTTACATGATATATGTAACATTACATTTGCAATCGTGATACCACTGGAAAAACTCACATCCGACTCTAATACGATGCTCAAATCCGAGCATCTTATTTGAGACAAGTTTCAGACGACGACTATTAATACAGATCCGAGCCTACGTCGGACAATTGCACGCGCGCAGTGGGCACTTTCGCTCTTCACGATTGAAACTCGATGAAAATGTACATTAACGCGTCGCGGACGGGAAATAATCTGTCCGACGATCCCCCAATCGGAATACAGTCGACGTTGCCGGTCGAGACGCGATTAAATCGAGCACGCGTCGCGCTTGTACAAAATCACGGATATACGATAATAACTTACGACAACCGGACATCGCGATGTCAACAATGGCCATTGTTCATGACGTCGCAGTTTATTGGCGTAACGTCGCGAGCTTAAAGGTAAAAAAAAAGAAGTACAAACAAACAAAATGCAGCAAAGTTTGCGATGAAGGGATGAAGTCGTACGGGATATCGGCTGGCTCAAGAGGACGGCCTTTTCATTCGCGTTCATTCTTTCGCTCGGGCGATACTTTCGCGGCCTCGTTTCGTCGTTGTGTCTCTGAACGCTATATTACTTCTCTTTTATGAATATCACATACGGAGCAACTCGTTCAGAATGCATCCCGCCGCGAGTTCTCCGCGTATGTGTCGCGCGCTCCGCATCGGCGCGCAAGCACCGGTATATATTCAGAAGATGACATATGGAAAGGGGGGATGTGTATAGGTATAGAGGTTCTCCTCGACTATCTAGAAGCTTTTCACACTTTACCCTTCGTATGGCGCTTTGGGGTTTGTCGACAGATTAGTGGAAGAACCATTCGCGCGCTATCGATTATATCCCGTGTCCTCGCGCTGCCACGTTTCGTACACACCACACGTCGTTGCTGCAGCGAAGTTTGAGCGAAGGTAAAGGAAGAACAGTCTACTGCCTCCGCCGTGAAGTACGGCATGGACGAAGGGGGCTGGATTAGCATCGATCTCACGCGCGGAATTCTCGAGCGTTTGAGTATCTTTGAGGACCGACGGAACTTTTTGGGACGAGAATACTACGGAATATTACGCTCATCACAGTGCATCACCGTGTGCACGATACCAAGAGGGTGTGAATACTACGGGATGTGCCGCAACTTACTCGCAAAGCCGAGTGAACACGCGCGATTCCGCGACAGTCTTTCGAAAATGATCGATGTCCGCGCATCGTTGAGCCGCGTAACTTACAATTCCGTCGTCGTCTCGACGGGACTCTGCTCGCCCAGATACGTGAACCCGAGATGAGAGTAATCCTTCCTCTCCCTGAAGGTGACGTTGTCGTTGGACGGACTAGGGCTCAGCAGATCTGCGCCGTGATTGTACAGGGGATTAAGGACTGGTGTCGCGTCGCGATTGTTCAGGGTGTTCGTGTTGCTCGCGCTGTGATTCTTTCGGCCCAATGTCGATCTTCGCAGGGAATGGATGTTGGCGTCGCCGTGATTGCCGACGATGCTAGACGCGCGAGCCGTGGTCGCCGCCTCCGAGCTAACGGGACTTTGTTGACCTGGAACATTGATATAAGCCGTGTATTTCTGATCGAACATAAACGTCAGTTCCTCGTGAAGATAATTTCGCTGCAGGAAACAACGACAAGTTTAATGCTAGAGACTCGTGTATTTCTTTCCTTATTTTTGCTTTGGCATTTTTTGCATATTTCGTCGAATTACATAGAGAAGTAACATTTGAAAATTTATTCCCGGGATAAGACTTAATCTCATAGAAATTAACTTTATTTCACAGACATAAACTTTATATTCCACACACAAATTCTCCACACATAACTTTTCTTCAGTGTAAGTAATTTCTGTATTTTCGTGAATTAATTTTTATGCGAAATATTTTGCAGTGAGAAGCACAATCTAATGTATACGTACACTATTGTTGACGAACGAGTCTCGTGATGTCTATCTCTCGAATTACCTGTACTGTCTCCGTGATCTTTGGTGATGTAACTGACGTTGTCAAGGCTGAACGCGTGATTCTTGTTGCTAAAGTCTAACTGCAAGTCGTTGTAACTGTCGTTGTCGTCGACTGGCACGCTCATCTGCAGTACCTGAGTCTCGTACTCCTTCAGATTAGGTTCCACATAAACGGGGTCGTATCGCGGCACCACGTACATGCGTTGCATTCGCTCCTTGTACGCCTTGTACCTACGTCATATTTGCCTTATGAAAGGCTACGTATTTCGCGCGGACAGTTCGGCGCGACGGTCGTATTACAGGGATCCCGTCGACGTCGCTCGAACCACGTCGATGTAATAAGTGTTCGCGGAGATACCCGGAGCGGAAACTGCAATTAAAGCTAATGGAGGTAATAAAGAGCGGTATGAATTTGCATCGCTAGCTCTCAACGAGTCAGATGGATATTCATACAGATACACGCGAAGCAGCTCTCCCATGCCATCATAATAACAGTCAGGATCGTCTCACCCAGTCTATCCGCTGTAATTAATACTCGCGCACGAATAATACGCGCAAACTCTTCACTTTTATTAAAACAAACGTACGTAAAGCGCAGTAGTGCGCACAGAAGAAATTTAAAACCTACGTGAGTTCGATTGAATTAAATTGTCTATGTAAATATAATAAAAAAATCCTACTACTCAAATACCAAGATAATGTTGCAACCGCGAAATAAGGGTAAGATTTAATTAGACCTCAAGCATACTTACTTGGACCAAGAGACACATATGTAGATTATGCCGGCGATGCCGAGGATCAGGATCACACAAGCGATTATAATCAACGCATACGGGAACACCTCACCGCTGAATGCAACTGCTGTTTGCGTTCGCACCGGTTCAGGTGTCATTACGGGTGCGTGAATGTTGATGGCATTCGCCCGTATTAACGTAGACACATCAAAAGTGATGTTCGACATAGCTGGTTTCTCCATGATCGATCTGTCGGGTATTTAATGCTTTTACAACCCTCAGACGCAGTCAAATGACACAGCGTAATTAATTGATATATATTTATATATCTCTCTTTTTCTTTCTCTCTCGATATCTTGCGTGGGAGATGAAATATTAAATACTGATATTATTTTTGTTTTATTTTAAATACATTATCTCTCCGTCCAACGCGAATCACTTGATAATGAAACATTTGTTTCCATTGAATGCAACAAAGATAAATTTAACTGAAATATCGGGCCAAATATTTTGACTATGTGTGATTTAACGCTTCTATCTATTTATTTATTTAAGAGTAACGTCCTTTTCTCGAAAGGAAATACAATAACGTAAAATCCAATCATGAGAAATAAAAAATTGTAATTATAGTCAAGTTTAATAAGAAAGTAAATAAAATAAATAAAAAGTCTCGAGAAAAGTTAATCTCATAGAAATTAACTTTATTTCACAGACATAAACTTTATATCCCACAAATAAATTTTCGAGTATCTTTTCATCAGTATATAAGTAACTTCGTGTTTTCGTGAATTAATTTTTTATACGGAATATTTTGCAATGAGAAACTTAATCTAATATATACATGCATTATTGTTGATAAACAAGTTGATAAATAAGTGATTTCTCGAGAAAAATTCAGATGATTTGCACGTTGTTTGAGTAATTTTGCAATTTCCCTTCGAATCGTGTTATACCGTGATTGAAGTTATACATGTTTGAAAACGTACCTTTGCACCTTGGAGCTGTTTCTGTCGAGTATGGCTTCGGTATCCGGGTCGACCGCGTAGAACCAGACGTCGGAGTCCTGCGGAAACATTTCGATAGTGCCATTCTTTGTAAGGACCTTCCTCACCACGACCCTGTCGATGCCGATCAACAGACCGCTCTTCTCCTCTATTATGTTCGCTATCTTGCCGGCTTCCTTCTGCAGCACGTCCGGCGCCGCGTCCTGTACCACCAGGATCATCAGGTTTTCCTCACCGATGAGGTTGACGATCACTGGGGCGACGATCGAGTTGTAATTGTTGGTCGAGTTGGGATTGTCGCGCACACGAACGTCGAACTTGAACGGCAGCTCGGACGAGCCCACGTGATCGAACGTCGCCGTGGTCCTGATTATACCGGTGGAGCTGTCGATGGCGAAGTAGCCGGAGCCACGTCCCTCCAGGATCTTGTACTCCAGCTTGCCGTACTTCCCGTTGTCCTTATCGTGGGCCTTCACCTGTATGACGGTGGACGCGAATTGCGCGGTGCGCGAGATCGCGGCGAAGTAACGTCCCCTCGTGAGCGCCTGGCTCGCCTCCGGAAAAATAAATTCAGGCTTGTTGTCGTTCACGTCGATCACCTGGATCTTCACCTGCGAAGCAGCATGATCGAACGCATTCTTATCGACAAAGCTGATTAGAGACGAATCGATGATCCCGTTGCAACAAATCATGCCTTTCTACGTCCTGTATTTTTCTTTGCTCATATCGCTTGTAACCGCACAGTCTATAGGGTCTCTAACGCAGTGCCTCATACTTTATTTAAGATATGGGATTATTATAATTAATAACTCACAAGTTTGGCAAATCATGCATGGCAAAGCAGATAAACAGATAGCAATGTCTGCAGTCATAAATTAAGTTTACTGTAGATTAGGTCAAAACAAAATGTCCTATATCATTTTGTAAATGATCACATAGATTTTTAATTATTAATTAAAGAAGATTGGCGGATGGTAATGCAACAATAGTCTTAATAACTAAACATCTGCGTGATTATTTGCAAATTTAATAGAGTACTTTTTTATTCAGTTTGATGTAATCTACAACGCGTATGATCTCTTGCTAAATTTCTTTAATTAATAACTCAAAATTTTACGTAGGTATTTGCGAAATGGTAGAGAAACTTTATGTTCAGTTTAACTTAGTTTCCATGCATACAAAATACGAAACACCCTGTATAATGTAAAGTTGGCACGTTTAGAGGCCGAAGCGGAGGCGTCATTATCCGCGAGCGCTTAAACGCGGATTAGTCGTGTCTCACCATCGTCGTGTTTCTGCCTGAGTTCAAGAGGCCCGACAGCGATTCCAGCTTAATCTTGATCTGATAGGATTCCGTGGTCTCATAATCCAAGGCGCCTCTTCTCAACAACAGCGCGCAATTCCGCTCTTCCGTGACGTTCGCTTGGAACAGGCCGGCCTCATTGCCGCTGTAAATCTCGCACCTCAGCGGCGTTGTGTCGTGCGCGTGACTGTTGATGATGGTGATTGTCTTTATTAGCGTGTTGTCGTTCGCGTCCTCGGGCACGTCGACATTGTATGAGTTCTCCGCGAAGCCCAGACCGATCTCCGGCGGCACCGTCGCCACATGACGAACGTACAACGGCACGGTCGTCTCGGAGGACAATTGCGGCTCTCCCATGTCGTATGCGCGTACGTCGACCTGTCGCAAAAAGAGAAGCGATTTGCCTCGTGCAAATGAACCGTTCGAGTCGCGCTACTGATGGATCGAGCTGGCACGTAGCATCAAGTACCTGATACTCGGAGTCGGTCTCTTTGCGCAAGTCGTCTCGTATTCGGAGAACGCCGGTATCAACGTCGATCGCGAAGTACTTGCTGGCAATACCGCGGCCGACGATCTCGTATCGAACCTGCGGATTGCGATCTTACATGAAAACTTGATTTGCATCGCAATTCAGGAGAGAGAGAGAGAGGAGGAGGAGGAGGAAGAGGGGAGAAGGAAGAAGTAGAAAATGTTTTTTGAGTGATACAGCTACCTGATTTCCCGGCACAGTGCCGTCGGAATCCTCCGCCACGAGCGTGGTCACGGTCGTGCCGATAGGGACATCGTCGTCCAGAGTAATGGGAGTTGGCACCGACGTAAATACCGGTGGAATGTCGTTAACGTCCTAAGACGACACGTTCGAAACGCGTTATTAATCACCCCATAAGAAGATACGACTAAATTAAAAACAACCGTGCGAATCGAAGCGCGACAAACGGTTGTAACATCTGTATTAACGTCGATGTTGATACATTTGTGGCGTGAACCGGTTTCACGATGTAATTCCGCGAATGAATTTCTAGAACTAAGAATATATACATAAACTGATATTTAATTGAATACTTTCAATTAAAGCACCGACTCTGACGCCGTACCTGTGCGAGAGGTAATGATTCGAAAAAATTGCGCGATTACCCGAAATATACAGCGTCAGTTGTGTGTGAACACAGTCAAGGGAAAAGCCCCCTGAATTACTAGTGAAAGAATTGAAAATGTTTTTTTTTGCGAATCGAAGCGCGACAAACGGCCGGTTGTAACGTTTGTATTAACGTCGATGTTGATACATTCGTGGCGTGAACCGGTTTCACGATGTAATTCCGCGAATGAATTTCTAGAACTAAGAATATATACATAAACTGATATTTAATTGAATACTTTCAATTAAAGCACCGACTCTGACGCCGTACCTGTGCGAAAGGTAATGATTCGAAAAAATTGCGCGATTACCCGAAATATACAGCGTCAGTTGTATATAAACACAGTCAAGGGAAAAGCCCCCTGAATTACTAGTGAAAGAATTGAAAATGTTTTTTTTTTGCGTACTTTAATTGCTAAGAGTAATTAAGCGCGATGTGCGCTGCGATGTTGAGGCTAGAGCGGTCGATACAACGCGCTAATAAACGGGATAGCCGGCGACAGATATTGGCGTGAACACGCGATAAAAAAGAACTCGCTTTTAGTTATGAAAAAGTACCTGAACATTCACAACAACGCGGGTGGTGGAGCCAGGTGAATCGCTGGTGTTCTCAACGGTGCCTATTATGAGAACGTGTTGGTTATCCTTCTCGTAATCGAGACCGCGGACAGTTTTTATGACTCCGGTCTTCGGGTCTATGGTGAAGAGTTCGGTATCCCCTTGCTTGATCATGTATGTAATTTGCTTCTTTGTGTCCGGATCATCGGCCTAGAAATGATCGCGTTAGCTTTAAAGTCGAACAAGATGACCATCTCGCCAGGACCCGCTATCCTTTCCACTTCGTGGAAGACGGGAGGACTGGAGAATCGTCGACGCAAATAACGCGACTATCTCTCGGCTCTGAAAGTCGAGTCATGTGTGCACGGCTCTTGTTTATCGGATAAACTTTCGAAACTCGCCGAGAAAGAGAAAGAGAGAGAGAAAGAGAGCGAATGCCGTCACGGCGTCTTCATGATGGAATTACATCTTACGTTATTATGATCCACCTCGGGACTAATTTCACGCTCGATCTGTTACGCGGCTGAAGCGAGGTAGCGCTTTATCCCGGGACGAAATTTCCATGCACGCGTACGTCTCGCGTGAAAATGAACCGTGTTAAAGCGTGAGCGGCTATCGAACGACTTTCGACTCCAGATGGAACTTAAGCCCGTTGAAATTGAAGTTTGGACATACGGTCGATCGCCTTTGCGACGCGTCGCGTCTGTTACTCAATCGCGAGGCTTGACACGCGACTCACCGTGACTTGAATCACATTGTAATCGGGCACGTTTTCCTTGACACGCGCCTCGTAGCTGCTCTGGTGAAAGAGCGGAACCTCGTCCTCGACGTCTATGACTTTCACTGTGACCGTCGCAGTCGCCAAACGGTAATCGGGAGCTCCGTCCCTCGCAGTCACCACGAATTTGTATTCCTATGTGATTAACATGAAAGCACTAGATTTTAACGCACTCAGCAAATACGGTAATTAAAGAGAAATCTTAAAAAATCGTCGGGATATTAAATATTAAAAAATCCCCTGATTTAATTCTGAAAAGCAAATAACACAAACGAAATTCATGATTTTGATGCGACAGCTACGATCGCGAGATAGAAGACGATTTGTATTCCCGTATAATTAATATGAAAGCGCTCGCGATTTTAATGCACTCAGCAAATGTGGGAATATTAGAGAGAAATATATTTTACATCTCAATTCCCTGATTTAATCCTAAAAAGTAAATAATACAAGTAAAATTTATGATTTTGATACGATGGCTACGACCACGTTGTCAAAATAGAAGAACAGTGGTTTTAATAGCTAGTACTTGATAAGCTTATAATTTAAAGTGACAAGGAGGAAGAGGAATACATTGTGTTCTTATTATATTACACATATTATGTGAAATTATGTCGGCATCTCCCAACACGTGACATTTCCACGAAACGAACTTTAATTTGCGCGCATACTTTATACGTTCCCTTTGTTCCGGTGCGCACAATGGTGCAATTGTGATTCACCCGTAAACAACGTTCTCGCAATTCGTACAGACTAAGGTCGCTCTGTCGCGGGATACTCTCGAATTGCAATGGCGTCTTGTGTAAGTTGCGCGAAGCGGTGGAATATTCCCGGAAGATTTGAGATTGGGTCGCATAATTGCATCCGTAATGAGTAGTTTCAATAAACGGCACAAGCGTTACGTGCCCGTTAATGCAGTCTTTTGCAAATGTAAGCGAAGAGCTATTAAAGCCCTCAGACTTCCGAGAAAGTTCCGATTAATCCAAAGAGTCATAAGCTTCCACCTTTGAAATTATCCCGACGTTATTTTGCCACATGGAGAGCTTATTATTGTGGAGCTTTATCTCGCAAAATTAACCTTCCCCAATGAATTTCGATACACGCGATCTACGAAGCTGTGCAAAAATCATTCGCGGTGCTTCTACTTTCAGAATTGAGAATTGCGAGACGCGACGTCGATTATACTCACGTTGTTCTGCTCGTAGTCCAGCACTTTCTTGGTGAGAACGTCGCCGGTCTCAGGATCAACGGTGAAGGGGATATCGTCGGGCGCAAAGTAAGTGATCTCAGCGTTGATGCCCTCGTCGGCGTCTTCGGCGTGCACGCGGCCGATCAGTTTGCGCGCTTCGCCCTCCTTGACGGAAAACTCGTAAGGCAGGTTCACGAACTCGGGGTTCTTGTCGTTGATATCGGTGACCATGATGTTGACAGTCGCAGTGCTGTAGAGACCACCGGTGTCCTCGGCCTTTATCAGCTACACGAATCGACAGTGGTACAGTTTTATAATCCGCTCGGAACTTTTCCATCTCGCAATTCGCACAATAATGAGTGTTACACGTAATGAGTGTTACAGTAATGAGATACCGAAGTGCAAATGAGTATCAGAAAAATTTTATCTCGGACGTACCACGCGCGCGAAAGGACTTACCGCGTTTTCCTGTGACGGAAACTCTCGCAGAATTACACACGGAAAATACAGATCGTGGATTTGTTCTGAATACAGATTCTAGAATAACGTTTCTAAAATGCGTGCAAAAAACAACGGCAAAAAACAATGGCTAATTAAAGCTGAAAACGTTTTACCAGTTTACAAATAGAAAAACGGGCATGTCGATATTTTCTAGAATAAATTTGCTGATAGGAGACGGTGCGAAGTGCAGTGAAGTGCATTGGTTCGTAGTGAAAGGTATGGGAAGTTTATGCTCTCTGATGTTCGAGCAGTTGACGATAACGACTTACCAACTGATATCGGGTCAAGTCCTCCCTGTCTAGCTTCCTTATAACTGTAATAACGCCTGATTTAGCGCCGATCGCGAACTGGCGCAAGTCATTTCCCGATACTATCGAATATGACACCGGATCGTTTTCTGGGTCGGTAGCCTGCAAGATCGATTAGTAACGCCATCACAGACGCTGTTACAAACACTTGGGTATCTGTATTTTTAGGCAAATTGAATTTGTTTCATCAAGAGTGTACATTTAAGTTAAAGATATTGGATGAATCGCAAAACTTAAATTCGTTTTGGAAAAAACAAGGAAAATTGCGTAGAATGTGAAATCGAAGGACGCAAAATTGGAAAGCCTCTTCACCTTTTCACGTGAGAGAACATTTACGTTTACCATTTTACACTAATATTCGTCTAAAACAACCTTTTCACGTGAGAAAACATTTACGTTTACCATTTTATACAAATATTCGTCTAAAACAAACTCCCGTTTCCGATTTAAACAAACGCGTATTGATGTATGTTATTGGAATTGCGCGATTCGAATCTTAAATCGTGCAGTCATGTGCGTGTGCGTGTATATATGTATTTGTGTGGGTATGAATGGGAACACAATTACTAAAAGAAGTCTCAAAGACAAGTCCAAGAGACGTCTAAAAGAAGTAGAACGTCTTTTGAATGTTTTGAAGATATCTTTTGGTAGATTACGCTGTCTGGGAAGTTTCCACATTTGACAAAATTTCGTTATTTAAAGAATTAGTAAATTCAACGAGAATGTAAAAAGAAACAGAGACGCGAATATAACGCGATTCAGAATCGATGTGACAAGTAGACCGACGACCGATGAAATATAGTCGGATTGAACGAGCCCCGTTTCGAGTGGAGGGAGAGTTCAAATTAAACCTCCGCCGAAACGAATATCATCGGACACTCACAGTGATAGTAGCGACTGTGGAATTGATAGAGGCTCCTTCACTGACTTGCACCTCGTACACCGGCTGCTGGAACACGGGACTTCTGGTGTTCGGGCCGGGAATGACGTTCACTTCGACGATTGTCTGCGAGGATTTGCCGCCCTTGTCGGTGGCCTGCACGGTGATGCTATACTGCTCGCCGGCGTTCAGTTTCCTCATGGTCTCGATGACCCCGGTCTTCGGGTCGATCTTGAACTTCTGTAGGCCATTGTTCGACACATGATAGATGCTGTAGGTTATCTCGGCGTTCTCCCCTTCGTCGTTGTCCGTGGCCTCCACCTGGCGAGAGGGCCGAAATTAATTCGTCACCTCGACGAGCTGGCATAGCATCGGAGAAGCTGGCTAGCGTCGAACGCGAGGCAGAACGCAAAGCGTCGCGACGACGAGGAGGGGCGATCGATCGCGCGGAACTCGGGACCGCGGAGAAGAGCAGAGAGCGGAGAGCGTAGAGGATCGACGCGCGCGCGAGTACGGAAAAATTCAGATTCACTCTCTCGACTGTGCGGATTATTACGGACCCGCGGATCATTATCTCTCCGCACTGCACGGGCAGATAGCCGCCATTACTTCATCAAGATACGGAATGAGGAAGCCACCTTTGTTACTTGTCTCTTCGTTTCTCCCGCTTGGACGGTGATGGGCGTCATCATCGGAAGTTGCGGCGCATTATCGTTAACGTCGTTCAACGTCACGACGAACGACAAAGGCGATGAGGCGGCCACACCCGTTCTCTCGCGGGCGACCACCTGGAAGCGGAAACGGCCGGGACTCGGAGGGTCCCGGTCCAGATTCTCCTCGTTCACGACGAGGATGCCGGCGGGATCGATCGCGAAGAAGTTCGTGGTCAGCTCGAAGGTGTAAGCTGGCTTCGGGTCGTCCGGCCCCTAAACGCAAAAACGCGAATGCTTCATGAACAAAAGAGAAAAAAAATAGAAGAAAGAGAAAAAGCCGCGGAAGAGAATAATCGTGAGTCGATTCACGATTATTCTGCCGACACGGCGGACCTCTTATCCGTGAACAATGGAGGAAATTAAACGGTTCATTCACACCTTGGTCACGCTTCGTTAAGTGGAAACCGATGAAATCTGTGGGGTCAAGAAGAGAGAGAGAGAGAGAGAGAGAGAGAGAGAGAAAAGAGAGGGAAATAGATAGATAGATAGATAGATAGATAGATAGATAGATAAATTTATTTATTATGTGCTCTGGAAAAATTCTCTTCGAGCGCAAAGAATGATAATTATTTGTTGAGATAAATAAAAATGCAATACATGTATACAATGAAAAGTAAAAATTGAAAAGAGAGGAAAAAACAGACTCACCAAATCAGCATCCGACACATTGAGCACAATGGGATTCCCGTTTTTATCGATGACCTTTGTGCCGATCGGAGCGTTTTCGTCGACGTATCCCTCGATACTTGAGGCCGTTATAACGGGTGGGTTACTATCGACTGGTTTGACGGTGATCGTTAATTTGGCAGTGGCTGATCGTTTCGCTTCTGACACCTCGACCGCCTTGAGAAAGTGAGGAAAAATAAAGCCATTATACATTACACAGGCTCGAGCTTGTAAGTACGGAGTGCGGAGAAAATATTGTAACAAAAATTACGTTAAAATCACATTTTACTTTACAATGTCTTTTCCAAAGCAGGACACCATACTAACATTGCAACATAAACTTCCATAGAAACAACCAACAGAAAGCGACAGCTTGTCTCATCATTAATGAAAGATTACTTAACTTAAGTAAACCTATCTAAAAGTACATTTCGATTTCTTTCTAATTTGGCACAAATGTAAAAATACAAAAAATATTCAGGTCATATTTTTTTATTTTGGCCCACTTTAAATTTCACGAGCAATTTATAGCTTTTTAATGTTCCCACTCTATCATCAAGTACAACAAAAATGCATAAGAAATAAAATTGAATAAAAGATATAGTTAAATAATTTTAACAAAATCGGCATAGTTGAGACACAAACCATTCTAAATTTCTTTAGCCGAGATTCCAACCGAAATATTTCAAATCTGTGCTAAATTAGTCAAAAATGGTTTGAATCTTGGCCAAACCGAGAAATTACTTATATAAATATTTTTTTCATCTTTTTACATGTTTTGTTTAAGTATTTTATTATTTATACAAATAATTTTACACATTTAACTTTATATTCATAATCAGCAAACCCTAAACGTCTGTATCTTGTATTCAATTTTATTTCTTATCCATTTTTGTTGCATTTGTTAATGATAGAAGTGAGATCATTAAAAAGCTATAAACTGCCCGTGAAACTCAAAGTGGGCCAAAATGAAAAAGTATGACCTAAATATTTTTTCTACTTCTACATTTGTGCCAAATTAGAAAAAAAATTGGAGTGTTTTGGATAGGTTTACTTGTTAGACCCAGTTGTTTCAACTTCTTGGTAAATTAACTGATAGTTAATCATGTGTCTTTGTCTACATTGAAAGAAAAACAAAGACGAACATATGATTTAATTATTAGTTAACTTAGTTGAAGCTACCAGCTCGTAACTTTGTACGAGAAAGAAGTGTTTCGAATTTTACAGCCACGTGGCACGTGTTCACTTCACAGCGTTCATTCGCGGGGAATATTCATGAACGAAGTTACGTCGACATTTCCTCTTTAATATCATGGCGGCGGTGTTTACCTTAATGATGATATCGAACTTCTTCGTTACCGTCGTGTCGACGGCTTTGATTTGCCTCACCGCTCCGGTGTTGGGGTTGATCTCGAAGAAATCACGGTAATTCGGCGGATTTCCGCTTAGGAAGGAATAATGGATCGGCGCGTTTATGCTGTCCATGTCGACCGCCTGGATTTTCTCGGGCGAGATATTGAGTATGCCAGATAGAACTCCGCTCGATACCTGGACGGGAGAAAAAAGAGCATCGCGCTTGCAGAACCGGTTGCACGATTTATTGGCAGGCTGTGCGAATTTGAGCCAGTGAGATATCGACGGTTGATTAGAGAGATACGCGTTCGCGGCTACCCACTTGTAAATTCCCCCCCCCCCCCCC